TTTTATTGATACAGTTACTTTGATAGAACTTCAGTAATAATAAATTAATAATCTTTTGAATTGTAATTGCATAGATACATATAGTTACTATAGATACATACATACATACATATATATATATATATATATATATATATATATATATATATATATATATATATATACACACATATATATATATATATATATATATATATATATATATATATATATATATATATATATATATATATATATATCTTAAAATTGTCAGGAACTAAATAAAATTACTGACTCTAATCGTGTACATGTTCACATCTCACGTATTCTTCTACTTTTTACATTCATTCTTATTAGATCAATATGAATATCATACGAATAAATATTCTTCTTCTTGCGCTTTATATAAGTAATAAAAAATACAAGATAATACAAATCATATGATATCGTATTTACAAAATTCAATAGACTGAGTGCAGACTATTATCAACTGAGAATTGTCTTAATTTATTTCACTCAACGTACAGATAAAATATAAAGAAAATATAAAAATTTATTTGTCGTACCGTTGAACATTAAGCTCTCCATTTGGGATTCTACGAAGTTTCTTCCTTTTCAAGATTTTCACAGCTCTTCGACAAAGGGTCTCTGAGTCCAACACTTCTTTCACCTTTCCGTAACTACCTTCACCAAGTACATCACCCATAACATATTTACCGATAAATTTACATTTTTTCTTTTTTTCTTCGTATATAATTTGATCTGAATCCACCCTATGGAAGAACATGTTGATCTCATCCAAATCATAGTTTGGATCATCGTTGATCCACGTGACTGGTTCGATATCCCGAAATATTTCATTATTAATTTCTTCTTCGTCTGGGTCACATATTGTGATCCTATTGTCCATTTTTCACAATGCTAATTGGACTAAAGTTACTGAAAACCACGCAACTTTAACCTAAAACACAACCGGCACCACCATTGTTGTGAATTACAGCTGTATGCTCCACCACGGCTTGTGATAATAAAGGACACGATCGTCATCCCAGTTCCGGAACGGCACGTATTACTGACTGTACTAGCGCTCAAATTTGAAATATCTCTTACATCTGAAAATATATACACACATCTATTGAAAATTTATACAAATTTTTTTTAGTTTGATAGATATAGATATAGATGTTCCGTTTCTTTTTTTTCAGTTTAAAACTAAAGTCTTGGAAATTTTAAAAAATTTTTATTTCAATAACAGCTTGAGTTGGATTAAAAATATCAACTTGGGTTTAAAAATACATATATCTGTATGTCAGATACGATGTTTATTAATTCTTGTTGTATTTTTATAAATAAATCATATATATATATATATATATATGCATACACACCCACACAAGCGTAAATAATAAAATATCTTTTTAACTGTTTTGGTTTACGTTTATATATAATAATATATGTATATATTTTTATAAGAATCAGATAACTAACATCTTAGAATTTTATATGTATAAAAAACTTTTTATTATTTTTTTATTTTATGTAAGAATTAAAAATATGTTTATATAGATGAAATAAATTGATCAATTATAATGTATTATATTACTAATCAGGTACTGTTAATTTACAAATTATGAAATATATTTCTCAAGACATACAGTATAAACACAATATAATAAAGTATAATAAAAATACAATAGAAAAAGTTTCATAGTATAAACAATACAGAACAATAAAAACAGATCATTCAATTTGTTTTTTGTATGAGAAGTTTCATTCACTAATAAATAATATTTATAAAATTTTATTGGAAAGTGATAACTTATTCAAAATATCTTTTAATGTTATTTTATACAACTTTGCAGCTTATTACTTTACCTTTAAATTTATACAAATACATTATAATAATATGATATGCTCTTTCTACAATTATGTACAGTACATAAAAGTATATCTCTTGATTATTATTGAAATAGGTGCCTGAACTGACAAACTTTGCAGTTGTCACTTCATGATTTTACATAAAAATCATGGACTATATTATATCTTTTAATGAGAGGGATATTTTATATTACACATAATGAAAAAAACAGATGTACTTTTTTAATGATATTTTGTCAATGATGATGACCAGTCGTAATTAATGCAGGTAAAAAAGAGCCTAATACTAAAACTAGTATTTCTTTAACTTTTAATCCAGAAGAAGATGCTGGTACATTTTCAGCAATTGGTAGATGTGTATAGTTGCTACTATTTCTTGTCATTAATTCTGGTAAAACATGAACAGTTGCAACATATAGGAATGTACCTGCGCTGAATAACATAGCCACTCCGGTTGCATTAACATTACTAAGTGTTTCTTTCCCTTCCTAAAAAGATGTATATATCAATTTCACATTAGTGTTTAAAAAGATATTTAATTCTAAAACAATTTACCTTTCCAATACCAAAATATGTTACAAGAGCAAGACAAGGTGCTGCTAAAGAAAATACTAAAAGATGTCTACCAATTTTTTTCCTATCTACTCCTTCATGTAGTAAAAATGATACAAGACCAAATGCAGCAGGTGCCTGTAAAAAATAGCTTATTTATTCATTAAATATTTATTACATATGTTCTTAACATTTCTATCTTTAGATATGGAATGCTATTTAGTCTATTTTGTTTACCTTATGTAACATTATTGCTAAGAAAACAATTAATTCTACATCAGCTTGAGATGTAGTTGCAGCAGCTCCTAGTGCCACTCCATCAGCTGCTGCATGAACTACAAGACCCAAAGTGGCAGTAACACTCCTTTCTCTTACTCCACTTCTTCTAGCTGAACATTGATCAACCAATAGCATAAATACGAAACCAAGTATTAAACTAATACCTATTAAGGAGTGAGGATCACCTAAAAATGAAAATGAAGGATATTAAGTTTTACATCTTTTTACATAACAACAAAAAGATTTTATCAAGTATTTTAATTGTTTGTATATATATTTTTTCACTCAAGAAAAACTAAAATATGAAAAATATTTTGAATCGTTAATACAAATGTATGTATAAAATAAATGAAAAAATCATATGTTTGCCAAATATAATAAACTACCTTACTACAAACGTTTTTTGTGATATACTAACTGTGAACTTCTTGATCATTATTGCTTCCACCAGTAAACAATGCTCTTATACCTTCAGGTATAATCACAGCAAGCGCGGTGCCTACAAGAAGTCCAGCACCAAGTATCGAAACCAGTTGTAATTTATCCTAGAAAGATTAAAGGTTCATGATGTTCATGATCATGGAGGTCTTTGTAGAATCTGTAATCAGTAGTTTAAGTATATGACAATCATAGAAAATGATAGATAAAAAAATTGTTCTTTTCATCTATCGTCAAATGAAAAGGACATTACCTCGGATAAATTCATGACTAATGGTAAGGATCCAGCTATGCAGGAACCCACTAACATTACCAGTGAAAGCATCCATAATACTGTACTTTCTTCCATTTTTTAAAGATATATTTTTTGAATAAACGAAAGATATTTATTTCATCGAATTAATAATTTCGCATTGCTATTTAATATTAAACGAGTCAAACAATTTAATTATTTTTTCTAGAGCATTCTAACTAAAATACCATTTTTAACGGCGTTTAACAATCTGTTTTCGTCTACGTAGCAGTTTCGCGGTGAATACTGTGAGTATAGCAACGACATAGAAGAGGAGATGTTAGATGCATTGAAACATGTCATAATGAAAAGTTTTCATTGAGAATTCACTTCGTTGAAGATAATGTTAATGCTTAACATTATTTTCATAATGTAGCGAAATGAATCGATCAATGATAAATCTATTAATTTATTTAAAACAAGTTAATTTTTTATATTTCATGTATCACACAAAGACGTTTCACTTGTATATAAATTAAAGATAACGTGCTCGGTGTTTTGCGATCTTAAGGAAAAAAAGGATCAACGAACAGATCTATATACATCAATTTTCATGGATATTATTTATTTGCATAGATGGCGTGTAAAGATTTATCTCGTGACTATGTAAAAAAGATAAACAAACAACCCTTGCAATCATTAACCAAAGATTAATGGATCTCCTTCTTGAACGTTTTATTTGCTTTATTCTGTAATTTGTCTCATATGAAACACCGTTCGAAACATCTTTCTATCACAATTGATAATAACAGTTGATTGCTTTTGATTTTTTAATTTGAATTATTCTACTAGATGGCAGAGATGTCGATTAACCGTGGCACCTCTAGCGGAAATATTAATGTACTAAACAGTAAGTGATTGGTAACGAGTTGAGTGAGAGCGATCAAAAAATGGCATCCGCGACGACGTCGCACAATGAGGTTTCACAGGAATTTTCTGTCAACAAACTTATTCGTGTCGGCTATTACGAATTGGAAAAAACTATTGGCAAGGGAAATTTTGCCGTTGTTAAAATGGCCACCCACGTTGTAACTAAATCGAAGGTAAGTTCATTGTTAACGCATTTTTCTCACAAACATGTACACCCGTCATTTTGTCGTTATATCTTTGGATAACGGCATGGACATGTAAATCATGTCGTATTATACGCGTTATAAAAGTTCTCTCTTTGATAATGATTTGTCATAACGCGAGAAGAACTAACAATTTCATAGAATGTTTCGCAAACCGATGTTACCAACAGATACTATCGCATCGATTGAAATATGTTCGTTGGATGTTTTTTTCAAATCATTATTAATGATAATAGATTGGATATCATTGCAAAATGAAAATAAAAATACCATCAATTGACGTTCGTGTAGAAATTTATTGATTCAATATATATCTTCCGTGTAGTATTTTTTTTTTAATTTATTTGCATTTATTTTGTTTCTTTTTTATATGTTTTTTTTCTATTTTTATGTAATAATTAAATCAAATATTGTAATGCTACAGTTTAGTGTATCTGATATAGTGCAATTAATTTTTATAATAAAATTCGAATTGCATGAAAAAAATACATCTCTTCTTTTTTTTCATAATCTTTTATATGTTTTAAAAAATTTGTAAATATTTTAATAAATAACATATATTATTATTATTATTGCTTTAAATTTATAAGATAACAAAATATTGAACTGACTGAAACGCGTGATATTATTTGTTTATAATCCAATACTAATTTAATCACATACATTTCTTAAGAATTATAAATGCACTTTTGTTTATAGGTTGCTATTAAAATAATAGATAAAACAAAATTAAATGAAGAAAATTTAGCAAAAATTTTTCGTGAAGTACATATAATGAAACGATTAAGGCATCCACATATTATAAGATTATACCAAGTAATGGAAACAGAGAAGATGATATATTTAGTTACTGAGTATGCTCCTGGAGGAGAAATATTTGATCATCTTGTAAGGAATGGAAGAATGCCAGAACCAGAAGCAAGAAGAATTTTTCGTCAAATTGTTCTTGCTGTTCGTTATCTTCATCAACAAAGAGTTGTTCATCGAGATCTTAAGGTCTAAATACACAAAAATGTATTTTTTAAATATTTGGAAAATTTATGAGGAACTTGAAAACATGAAAGAAAATCATAGTACTTGTGTATTAAATAATGATATTTGTTTTAGGCTGAGAATTTACTACTTGATGCAGACAATAATATAAAACTTGCAGACTTTGGATTTAGTAATGAATATACTCCAGGTGTTCCACTTAGCACTTGGTGTGGGTCCCCACCATATGCTGCTCCAGAAATTTTTGAAGGAAAACACTATGATGGCCCAAGGGCTGATGTATGGGTATGTCATATTATTATGAAAATATACTGAAATAAAAGATTTCTAATTAAACTGTTATTGAAATATTTTATCTATAATTATAGAGCCTAGGTGTTGTTTTGTATGTGTTGGTCTGTGGTGCATTACCATTTGATGGGCCCACAATGCAATTATTACGTTCTGTAGTAATCTCAGGGAAATTCAGAATACCATTTTTTATGTCTGCAGGTAAATGTACAAGTTTTTATATAATTCTAACATATTGTACCACATTATATGTTTTACTAATATATCAATTTTTTATAGAATGTGAGAAATTGATTAGACATATGTTGGTAGTAGAACCAGAACGACGTTTAAGTATCTCACAAATTTTAGCACACTCTTGGATGGGTGGAGATGGTGTAACAGAACCTGAACCAGGAGGGTAATATATAAATACTAATAAATTGCGTATTTGGATTATAATAAGAGAGGACTATACCTCTTTCAACATATGTTTTTAGGTGCAGTCCTGAAAATGTGCCACCACAATTAAATCAAGTAGTGATAGAAAATATGTTAAGATTACCAGGACTTAGTCCAGAAACGTTATTAAAAGCAGTCCAAGGGAATGCTTTCGATCATGTATCAGCAATATATAATCTTCTTGTTGACCGATTAGAACCAACAATGCCTAGTTTACCCAGTATTCAAAGTATACCAGGAGATTATGCTCCTGATGGAGCACATCAGTTAGAAAAGGTAGATATTAAATTTTTTCTGCAATACATATACACATATATATAGTACATACTTGAAAATTACATTCTTTTTATTTCCTGTTTAAAAGTTTGGTGATACGGAAGCAGAAACGGAAGAAAGAAGTGGAATGCAACTTACTCCTGGCACACCTTATCACACAACAAGAAGACATACAGTTGGACCTGGTGATACAGCTCATCAACCACCAACATCATATCCTTATAACTATAATCACAATTCAGGCGATCCGGCATTACGTCTTCTTCCTATACTACAGTATAATAATACTGATCCTCAAGTATTACCTCATACAAATTTACCATTAAACCTTCCTTTAGTTCAACATCAACCTCCTCAAAACTTTCAAATCAAAGATCAACATTTATTAAAACCTCCGCCTGTGATGGGAGCAAGTAAGTAATATATGCTATAAATTATTTTAACAAATCATTTCGTTTTTTAATAAACATTTAATTATAGCGGGGAGTTTTGGAAGAAGAGCTTCAGACGGTGGAGCTAATCTTCACGTTTTCTATCAACAACATGGTAGTAATTCTGGTGGCACTGACGATGGTGGATGGAGTCAACCTGGCAGTAGAGAACATTTACAACCTGTAAGAAAAATAAATATTAAAATAAAAACTGAAATATTTGTTAAAAAGTTAATATATTCTATAATTAATATATTCACATTCCATTTAGATACAAAGTGGAAGTCCAACTCTAGTACCATGTGCTCAGTCATTAAATGTGGGAGTTAATACTGGAAATAATGATGCGAACGGTAGTAATACTGGAAGTGGAAGTGGAGGTAGCGATAGAAGAAGACGAAGCGGTGTTACTGCCGTCATGCAAAGACCAGGTACTGTGGATTATGATTTTCTGGTATTTATATACACATCATCAATGCACTTTATTATATGTTCTATATCACTTCAACAAAAGTTTATTATGATTTGCTACATCAATTAGTTTAAAAGCTTGCTATATTTTTTCGTTTCTAAACTGTGAGTATTATTATGCCTTGTGAGTATTATTATATCTTTGCTTTTGGAATATTTGCATATTGATGTTTTTTTTTTATTTTAAGAGTTGTATACTGCATGATAAATATTCTTATCTGAGAAAATTTTATAATGTTACTATAAATACTATAATTATCATATTGTAATTATTTATTACTATATATATATATATATATATATTACATGCTATTTGTAAATATATTTGGATAATAATTTTATTTCAAGTTTACATATCATTTTATTTAAACAACATATGCACTTTATTTGCCATATATTTCTTTATAGTGTTTCATTTGATTTTATTTTTGATTTTGCATGGTTTTTTTGTGTCCACTGCACTACCATGCCTCGTTGGTTGGTAATATGCATGTAGTTATAAATCCGGAAATGGTAATGGAGGTGGAAGCTAGGATGAATAGAGCTTACCTCCCATCACGGCTATTACCAACACATCTTAGAGGATCTACACTTCCACATCATAGGAAGACTTCATTGTATCATACTAGCACTGGTAATTTTTGTGTGGTTTTTTGCATTTTGTATAAATAGAAAAACGGATAATTATAGTACATTATGTTGTTAACACAATTATGTGCTTATTTATTTTATATTATTTGTACAAGTGTGTGATTTATATAATTACAATAATTAAATGATACATTATCTTATTTTATTTTTGGTATTTGTTTTTAGTAGGCAATAGAGACTCGTATAAGGAACCAAGTACTCACGTCTCTACAGAAAGATATTCTCCCGTTCGGAGAGCATCTGAAGGTTCAGGCCCACCTGGCCCTGGAATTCAAGCACTTCAGCAAGAATATCAACAATTGCAAAGGTTAGCATCACCATCGCACAGTCCTGCGAGTATTCCTGGATCCCCTGTACATGAAAGAAGTGTAGCAGCAATCACACAAGGTATTTTTAATTTTCTAATATTTTACATACAATAGAAAAATTTAAAAATTATATAATTCATTTTGATGTTAGGTTTAAGTGGATTGACTACAGCAGCAGTGCAGGGCAGCATAGTTCATGGTACTCCAACACAACCACCAGCAACACCATTAGATTTAAGTCCACTGAGACATCATAGATCACCAGCTACAACACCAGTTAGTTATTCACCTAGTAACAGTCCAGCTTTAGATATGATTCAAGAAGAACATCCTGTGGAAATACCACGAGTAAATAACTTTCAAGTATTGATTAAATAATTTTATTATTATTTGTCAAGTTGCTGCTTAATTATAATTTTTTATGTTGAGAATTATTTTATTATAATAAGCAATTATTTGTTCTAGGTACCACCTCAAATATCTGTAACAGATCTTGGGGGACAAGTAACACTAATTAGTTGTTCACCTTCACCATCTCCATCGCCTGATTCGCTCGAAGATACGTTACCTCATTATAGTCCTCTTCCTAGTTTTATCATCTCTGAACCCTGTGATCCATTGAGACCCAGTATCACACGCGGTATCGGTAGGCCACTCAATACGTCAATACCTACAGAAGTTGAAGTTACATTATCTGATGAATCAAGTAGGTTGAATTCAGAAGCTATATTAGGCCGTGTGAAACAAATTATAGATGCAAGAGCCCCTCCAAAGGGATTTGTCTTCTCTAGAGAAGAAGTGAAAGGTGGTGGGCTTAGTTTAGAATACCCAGGTGGTGTTCAAATTGAACTTAGAGTATGTGAATCAGAAGAGAAGGAAGTAAAAGGCATTAAGATGCGAAGAATTAGTGGGGACCAATTACAGTACAGTCAACTTTGTCAGCAGCTGATCTCGTGTATTACTGTTTGACGACAACCAGCATGTAATATAATGTTTTTCTTATATATTACGTTACATTCCTGGTGCCACACACACCACTCATTACAGTATTGCACATGCATGCTGCATACGTACGAGCGGTACTTTAAGCATACCATTCTTTATATTGATACATTCATATATGTAACATTCAGTGTGCTTCGTTTTTCAATATTCTTTTTTTCTTTTTTGTTTTTTGAATCTAAAAAAAGAGGAAATTTTAACTTGTGCATAATATGAGGTGAGAACAGAAACGTTACAATAATTTTTTGAAGTCTTATTATTAAAAGTTTAGAAGATATACATGCTTTTACGCAAGCAAGACGATGTTTTGCTACTTTTAAACAATCTAAGTATTAACAAACGTGGACGTTTTTCATAAAACTTTAATCGTTAATGTACATCACACATCATTCCTTTTTGTAGAATATTTGTCTTCATGTTAGAAGTTTATAGCTAGTAAATTCATATTTTACTGTTCAACTCATCATCAGGTGCCCTTTTTAGCTTAGGAAAAAGAAAAGTGTCTTTTGTACCGAATTAGATGGCAAAATATAAGCATTTTCATGATATATATGTCTTTCTAATATGATAGAGATGTTTTATATGGAATTTACTATACTTAATCAATTGCCATTGCAAACAGTTTTAATTTCATAATCTATATCCATGTTTGTAAATATTTGTTTTTAAATACTGCAATTTTTTCTTTTACGTTATTGGACTTAGAAGAATTGCCTTCTTGTTTCTGGTACAAATGTCTTCTTGTTTCTGGTCTCTGTTGGATAATTTAATTTTAATAACTAGAGACATATATATAATCTTTTGTATAGTGCAAATACATTGTGGTTTGTAGTTCGAAAACTACACAGACTGAGTTATGATTGTATATCTTTCTTTTTTTAATTGGTTAATTCTTGTTGCAATTTTTAATGGTATAATTACGGACTATTGGTTTTTAAGGAACTATGAAGTGTCAGAATAGAGGAAGTGTACTTTCCAGTTGCACTTATACAGCATTTAATTATTGTCATTTAAAAAGGAAAGTATGCAACCTAACTCTCCTTGTGTAACCAAAGAGTTAAGTTGCTTTCATAGTATGGAAGGTACATCTTTTATTCGTATTTTAAAAACACAAGGAAGATATAAATACCTATAATAATTTCTAGGTAATGTTAAATAAAGTTCTAATTAAACTAGCACATTTTTTATCATTATGTTGCAATGATTAGATAAAAGACATTATATTAGTGTCATGTATGTGAGAAATAAGAGATTTAATTCAGTTAATGTAAACAAAATATTTTTCTAAATTCATTTATTGTGAACTAAACAAAAGATAATGTGCAAAGATATTTTCTGTCTATAGTGCAAAGTACAATGTTTTTTTTATAGAATACGATTTGTATATTCTAATTTATTTTGTTATATTAAATGTATGTATCTTACTGGTAAAAAAATACTTCAATAATCTAACACATTTATTATTTCAATAGGTTTCAGTACTAATGTTTAATTTTAGTATTTTTCAAATTTGGAACAAATATTTTATGATAAATATAATATGTATAATTCGACGAATAATTTATATATGTACAAGTTTATGTTGTGTATTTTAAATTACGAAACATTGTACTTCATGTCAATTTAATTTTTATTTGAATATTCCGCTTTAAATTACGAATTGGTTTATATTTATTAAATAATACTTTTATGTTTCTGTAAATAATGAAATTTAATGTAAATATATGATATATACTATTTAGAGATTTCTAAAGTATACATTATACAGGCTATTCTATTTGAGATAACTATTTTTAGTTCTTGAAACATTTATTGATGCTGTATGTTTATTATAAAGTCTTTTGTAGAAATGTATATATATATTAACTGTACATTCAAATAATATATTGAAAGAAGAATTGAGAATATGTTTTCATATTAGTTTAAATCAAATTGTAAAGAAGTTTATGCATATTCAAATTATATAAATAAATTAATTCATTAGAGTTAGTCAAATCAGAATAGCCTATCAATATTATGTAATGCCCAATTTCCATTGAATAATTTATTAAGTTTTATCATTTTTAAATTTTATTTTTAGATATTTTATCAATTAAAGCAGAAACCTTGTACATTTGCACTTGCAATTAGATTTATAATGGATATATATCACTAATATCATGATGTATCTTGATAATTCTTTGAAGATCATTCAACTTGCAATTTTTTATTAACATAAGTGATATATTTCATTATAAATCATTGCTAAAATTTTTGAATACTTGTTAATATATTAGGTACATATAAAAGTATCTACTATATTATATAATTTAAATATATCGCTATCGATTAGTAATAAAGAGATTACTCTTTACATCTATTTGCAAGGATATTTTAAAGCAGTAATTGATTTATACAAAAAATATTTTCTGCCAAATAATGTTTCAATTTTTTTCTAAGTTTTTTAGGCAATTTTGTATATAACAGTAATGTTGTTTGGGTCTTCCTTATATATTTGATTTCCGTATAAATTATGATATTTATGAATGCATGCTTTTATCCTTGTACATTATGATGTTATGTATATTTTATGTGAATTTTTAAATCAAGAATACCAAAATCTAATGATTGAAAATTATTTTAATCATTTTAAATCCACCAATTTAAATGTACATAATAATTCTCACAAAAATGTCGTGCAATACCAAAAAGTTTAATAATTATTTTTTATTTTAGCTGAATTTTTGAAATTTATGATTGAGAGTGCAATTATGTATAAGCAACAAAATTCTTTATTGGTGGAAAATGGGCAAAAATACTACAATTACGCACAACAGTGAAAGTGTAGATCAACATAATTCAATTTATTGTACATAACACATATACATAATTATTCATTTAGGGTACATACTATGTGTATGTATGCAGGAGCAAACTATGTACATTGTAAACATTTGCTATTATGGATAGGATACAGATAGTATTTTCTGCTGTCAATTCTTCAACTAAGACTGTGATTTTTAAATATACTAATGGCTAGGTAGATACAATACATATTGATTGAATATGATAAAATAAAAATAAAAGAGATATTCAAGACATATGCATTTTTAATGTTTCTATTCATTTTGTACAACAATAAATGGATTTGTTAATTGTGTTATTTAGTATGTACTAAATTTCAATTGTGTGATATAAGATATTTTAATCTTTTAATCTTTTAATTATAATATTAATATTTCAAAATTGTATGTCATGAGTTTTGTCAATTTTTCTTCCGTTTGAAATTATGAATATTTCCCGCCTTATTCATTTTGACACTATTTTAACCTAAACGACACTATTTTGATACTATTCGATCGGTTGTTGTGTCGTGCTGGTGTAAATAAACTAATAAAGGATATTCTATTTATTATTATTATTTAGATTTTTTTAATTACTCGTGATGTGTATAAATGTAAAAAGAATCAAGTGTGAGACATTAATATGAAATATTTAAGTATTTTTATATGAATCGAGAATTGGAAACAGTTGGGTAAAAACACATTTCATAATATTATTTCATTAAATAATTCATTTAAAAAACTGCTTTCATCTGTTATTAGTTGTAAAAATTGTTACTTTGGTAGACATTACACTTTTTTTACATTTTTAGTTTTACATTCTTAATATTTATTTTAATTTAGTTACCTGATCTATATATTTGTTTTTATATATTTTTACGCTTATTTCTAGATAAGTAAAATCTTTCTTTCTTTAAAGAAATTAATTACACAAAATGGAAATCATTGAACTTGTTTCGGATGATGAAGTATCAAAGGATAATACAAAAAGAAATAGAAGTTCCAAAATTGGCAATACTAATTGTATAAATTTTCAATGTTCTTCTGGAGTAGATATGAAATTAGCACCTTCTTTTGCATGTGCTTTTTATGGAGTAAATACAGAGAAAAAGAAAAAGCGAATGATATGTACAAAGTGTTTTAATGCTGCTTTAGAACACCAGAAGGTTTGATTTTTAAAATAATTGTTATTAATTGATATATTATTGTCAACAAATTTATTTGTACCATGATATTAATTTTATTAATTAATTTAGCAATTGGTCACAGCTTTTGTGGATCATAAGCCATTGTTGAACTGTGAATTTCCAGACCATACAATGGAAGTAGAAATTTCTGATAGTGATGATTCAGATGATGAGAAAAAAAAAGATACATGTGATGAGGGTAAGATATTATAATCAATTAAGTATATTTAAGATATTAATGTGATATTTGTGTTTTAGAAAAATATTTACCTGCAGAAATGCTTTTGGATGTAGATGAAATGTTGGACAGTACATTGAACAATATTGTTAAGAAGTATGACGTTGATTATCAAATTAAACAAGCTCATAACATACTAAAAGATCAATGGAATAAAATAGATGGTATATCATTATTTTATAAAGAATATTTTATATATATTTGTATGTATGATATTTCATATATGGTTGTATTAAATCAGATAATTTTTTTAAACAGAACAAAATGAAATTCTGGAAAAAAAAGTCAAAAATTTGATGCGTAATATGGATATATTACGTAATAGTTTATATGACGAATTCAGACCACAAATTGAAATGCTGCAAGAACTTCAAATTGATGATGGATACATGGATAACAATCTTTATCCATTAGTAGCAACAAAAAAAGTTACCCAAGTAAGAGTTCTTCCTTCTTCAGTTTTACAAGATAATCAACCAGAAGTTTTACCAATTGAACAAGATAATAAACAAATTGTGGTTCTGGATTTACCCCCAATTGGTCCAATAGTAAGAGCGCAAATAGAAGTTGATAGCATTGTATATATTATGAAGCATCCACTTATGCCATGGATTAAAGGAAAGGTTTGTAAATATATTTTCACTTGAACTTCATTCAAATAGTTTTGTATTTAATTTGCTCAAAATTTTATTTGCTGTTCATAGGTACAAAATGTACTTTCTAAAACTCCCTTGCATTGTCGTGTAAGATTATTACAAAAGAGATATAATTCTGTTGTTAAATCTGTTTCTGGCAAGCAAATTGCAGCTGCTGTAATTAGTCAAGTAATAATTCCAGTTAGTACGCGAGTAGTTGCAGTATTTAAAGATGTTTCATCTAGTAATCTTTATAGTGGAGTTATAGCTGAACAGCCAAAAGCCACGAATAAGTATAGGTATATTGAAATAGATGATATTTTAAATATATTAATAATATATAAATAATAGGTGAATAGAGTAATATCAAATCTATTATTTTCTTAGGTATTTAATATTTTTTGATGATGGATATGCCCAATATGTTGAGCACAAAGATATTTATTTAGTTGCCGAATTTTCTAATAAAGTTTGGGAAGATATACCTAATGAATCTCGTGATTTTGTTAAAAAATATATTGAAACATATCCCGAAAGACCAATGGTAAAACTACAAACAGGACAAGTAGTAAAAACGGAATGGAATGGTAAATGGTGGATTGCAAGAGTAGTTCAAGTTGATGCAAGTTTAGTACAAATGCATTTTGATGCTGATGGAAGAACAGAATGGATCTACAGAGGTTCTGCTAGATTAGGACCTTTATATCTCGAACTTTTAAAAGCTAATGCCAGACAACAAGGACATCATGCATCTGTTAATACGCCTAGTCGACATCGACTGCCTGCTATCTCTAATGTACATGAAGTATTTCACTCGTTCTACTTTTTATGTGCAGAATATAATTATCTAATGTGAAACTTGTAATGTAATATTACAGAAAAACAATTTACCTTATGTGGAATATACATCTAATCTGGAATCTGAGGAAGAAAGACTTTCTCAATTAGAAAAAGAACAGAATACAGTAAATGAAAGTACAAATGCATTATCAAATGTACCGCAACAATCACGTGCTGTTGCTAGAAAAAGTACGAGTAAAAAGCAAAATATTGTGGATTCAAGTCTCTATAATCCTACGACAGAAACAAAACCTTCTCACAGTATAGTTGTAAGTGTATTGAAAAAAGTAATTATAATTTCCATAAGGAAAAAGGAGATATATAGATAAGATTCAGAAATATATATTATTACTTTATTTTAGTACTATCAAACACAGAACAAGATTCAAACAAAGAAATTTGTTCCACATAATTGCGGCCCTCAATGCGTTCAGGGAATATCTTTTACACCTGATGACTTACGAGGTTATTCACCTCTTTCAATACCATTACTCTGTGGTTGGAATAGACAACTTTGTAAATACCCAAAAGGCAAAAAAATTACATTATATCAAGCTCCGTGTGGTGTTAGATTACGAAATATGGAAGAATTACATCAGTATCTTCGTAAAACAGGTAGTCCGATGTCAGTTGATCTATTTGACTTTGATTACTGGGTGCATTGTCTAGCAGAATTTGTTTTGGATAAATGCTTTATTAATATAAAGGTAAATAAAATCTTAAAATTATTGAAGTAATTAATACTCAATTAAAATTCTATAATTCAATTGTTCTTTTTTCAATTTGAAGGATCTCAGTTATGGTGTAGAAAATGTACCGATACCGTGTGTTAATGAATTAGACCACACACAACCAGATACCATTAGATATAGCACTCAAAGAGAACCAACAGAAGGAGTTAATCTTAATTTAGATCCAAATTTCTTGTGCAGCTGTGATTGTGAAGACGATTGCCAAGTATACTTTTTTTTTTATAGCAATTTAAATTATAAAATATTTAACTAAATTACTTTATAGGATAAAACAAAATGTCAATGTTGGCAATTAACAATACAAGGTGCCACTCTCGGAGGAAGAGTGCCAAATACATCTGTCGGTTACGTATATAAACGTTTACCAGAGCCTGTTACTACTGGAATTTATGAATGCAATTCTGGGTGTAAATGTGCTGTAAAAACTTGTTTGAATAGAGTAGTGCAACATCCATTAACGTTAAAATTACAAGTATTCAAAACAGCTCCTCGGGGCTGGGGTATACGATGTTTAAACGATATTCCTCTTGGATCTTTTATTTGTATATATGCTGGTAGATTACTTACAGAACAGGTAAAGAATTATAATAAGATCTAGCATAAATAGTATAAATTATTTTAAGGTACTAATTACTTTATCTCTTATTTCCAGGGAGCTAATGAAGGTGGTAAAAATTATGGAGATGAATATTTAGCAGAATTGGATTACGTAGAAGTAGTAGAAAGTATTAAAGAAGGATACGAAAGTGATGTTCTCGAACCAGAAATGCCATTATCTACTCCAGAAGATAAAAAGAAATCTATGACAAGTGATGATGAGGATAATTCAAAAACAAATGCAAATGATTCGGACGAAGATTTCAATATTAGCAAATACGTGAATTTCAATGTAGATTCTACAGAATCTTCTTCTATTAGGTAAGTAAAAAGGAATTAATTACGAATAAACAATATAGTCTATAGTAAAATAAATATAATGACATAGAAAGAGATTAAGAAAACGAAAACGAGATGATGTTAATCAAGATGGGTCTGAAGAAAATAGCGAAGATGGAAGTGCTACTAAGACCACAGAAAACATTACAAAGTCTTCCACTAACGAAAACCGTTCAAATGATCCAGATGCAATTACTATAAGTGATGAAGAAGAAAATAGAAGTGGTAGACGTGAACCAAGTAGATTTGATCCAACAGTGGAACCAACGCAAATAGAAAGACCAAAATTTAAATCAGTAAGAGATTTCTTTGGAGAAGACGAAGCTGTTTATATAATGGATGCTAAGACAACTGGAAATATCGGACGTTACTTGAATGTTAGATAAATTTTAATTGAAACTCTTTAAATAACCGAAATGCTTAAAAAAGAATTTGATATTTTTATTAATTTTTAATATAATTTTTCAGCATTCGTGTGATCCAAATGTTTTTGTACAAAATGTATTTGTAGACACACACGATGTAAGGTTTCCATGGGTAGCATTTTTTGCTTTAAATTACATAAGAGCAGGTCAGGAATTAACATGGAATTACAGTTACGATGTTGGAAGTATACCAGGTAAAGTTATCATATGTAAATGTGGCGCATCTAATTGTAGAGGTCGACTTTTATAATGTGAGAATAATTTATATAAAATTAATAAAATTTTATTAATAAACGAGACTTGGTTTTTTTTTCATAATATATAATATAGTTTATAATTACAAGTTGTATAAAATGTATGCAATAAAATATTTTTCTTATTATTAAAAGTTATTTTTAAACTGATTTAATGATTTTCTGTATTTATTATATTTATTAAAACATTACAAGTTACTTTACAAAATAAAGTAGACATAGGAAATCTAAAAATCAACTGTACTGTATTTTACAAATATAGTACTTTGACCTAAAATGTTATAATGCACTTTATATAAATATGAAGAAAATAAGATTTTAGCAAAAATATATATTTTATAACTATATATTATAACAATCTATATTTTTAATTGACATTTGATAAATAAATTTTGCTATATAAGAAGTCTTTTAATAATAATATGTGTGTACGTCTTTTCTGTTAATAATGTAAGTGATAATGAGTAATAAATAAATGATAAATGTAGGTTTAATAAAATACAACGATATACATAACAATGATGCACTGGCTTATTATTTTTGATTATTATACACCTTTAAAACTTCTTAAGACATGTTAGATAGTTAGTACCATAAAGATAGCTTTTCAATTTTCTCTTCTATAATTTATATATATTATTCTCGAAACTGAATTAAATTATGTAGTATATCTCAATTCAAGCATTCATTTCAATATATATTATAACTTCTCATCACATAAAGCTGTTTTAATAGGTAGTTGTAAAAAAATGTATAAAAAAAATTTATAACATTTCTAAATTAATAACAAATATTTAAAACATGATGTTGTTTCTTACAAATGTATCAAAATATCTTTTACTATATAATGTTACATGCTTTAAAAATAAATTTATTTCTATTGTTAGTTTGCAAAATAATCTGTATGATATACTATTTTAAAGCTGAAACTATATGTAGTTCAAATCTCTAAGAGTAACCATATAAAAGAATATGAGTTCATGATTATATGCTCCAGATGTGCAATATATTATTATAAAACTACATTTGTGTACCTATATCTTTTTTTTTTAATTTAAAGTGTATAAATATGATAGCCTAGTCATATGCAAAAAATTAAGACAAAGCAATAGTGATACTCCTATGAGGAACATTAAAATACTAAAATAACAAAATTATTGCTTTATGATTTGTTTGGCTTTGTGCTAGTGAAATTTAAGCAATTGTTTGATCTCATCTTTTTCAGCAGCATCTAAATAACTTGTTCCGTCTGGTGTTAATCCATCTGGTTTAGCTCCTTTTTCTAGCAGTAATTTTACGCAATTTGTATGCCCTTCCCAAATTGCTGCTAATAATGTTGTTATTCCATGTTTATCTGTAGCCTGTAAGTGAACAAATTTCCATGATTCTAATTCTCTAATTCATTTCTTACATCAAAAAGTACAACCAATAGATTATCATATATAATGCATAATAAAAAAAAAAGACATAAATTTTTTCTAGTATTTTTATGTTTGTGAGTTTCTCATATTGTTGTTTAATATTTATAATATACTTACATTTGCATTTGCACCCTTTTCCAAAAGGTATCTAACTACTTCACTTTGACCATAATCAGCTGCATAATGCAGGGGTGTCCTTCCGTCAATCATTTGATTAACATCAATATTCTACAAATAGAAATGCATTCAGACAATTTATTATGTGTCCATTTCTAGAAGATCAAGTATGAATGTGAAAATGAAATATAAATGATTTTTACAATCAGTTGATTTAATCAGTTGATAAGAATATTTTCGTATGTTCTGAGCTACATACAATGAATTCTATGAATTTAATACTAAAATTCCAAAAGCAATATCTTTTTACATATGACGTTTCCGATTAGCGGCAATCAAAGAAGCAACAGAAGAAAAAGATGATTTAATGTTTCGTATATTTGCCTTGTTCTCAACAATATCCCGCACTTGCTCCAAATCACCATTTTTTATTCCCCATACGAGCTCACTCATTTTCGTTGCAAGCTATTAGAGAAATTTTATATGTGACACACACAACTTCCCAAATATTCACGTTCACTCTAATCAGTTCACGTTCGTACTGACGTCCATTAAATTTGGTTAAACAGCGAATTTTGCTGGAACAATTTTTCCAGGCTGCCAACATGTGTTACAATAAAATGAAATTTTCCATAGTACCAACATCGAAGATGATATAATAAAATAACGATTTCTTGCGACGTGCTTTTCAATTAATTAACCGATTCTTATGTTATGGCTACAAAATATTAAAAATAAGTAACTATTGCTTAACTTTCAATTTACATCTATGCGTCGGATTCTCTCCAAGCGATTGTGCTCCAAAACAAAATTCTTTGATATTTCAAAACTTTTACTTCTTTGTTTTTAATGTAGGTGTAGTAATTTATCGTATGTAACTTCAATTTTATTTATTATAACTTATTTTTAATTTCTTCAATTGAAATTCGAATATAACTTCGGTAGTAATAAAAGTTTTCAATAGCACTTGGTAAAACACTTTTTTTCTTGCACAGTCGGAAAGTTTAACGAAAATTGTAATTGTATTGATTTAAAGGACCAGTGTATTGTATTTATTCGCTGTTGTAGGAAAAGTACAGGGTAAAGAGAGCACACGTATAAGAGTGAATTAAATAGATATTAATTTAATCACATATAATTACAGTCACACGTGTTTTTACATTACATACGCAGAACTTTCTACTTTTGGAAGAAGAGAGAAAAAGAAAGAATTAATTTTCTACGTGAAGATTACTGTTTGCAAAATGGAGCAACAAAACGGATGTAGGAGGAGTATCTAAATCTCGGTTTCCGGGACTAGGAGACTGAAGAGACTTAATATTTTCATATAGATATTACTTACACACATACACACACACGTATAATTTATCTATGTGATGTGTGTTTTGTAATTTTGTAGCAAGTTGCTCGAGTAAGTCCTGAATTTATATACAGTGGGTAATTTTAGTTTTACATTAAGCTGAGGTTGCGTTGAAGAGTAACAGGATGTTGCAGTGTACGACCTTTTTGTGATGAAACGGCGGGTTTTGTGTAAAAGCATTATTGTTTTTTTTTTTCGAATGCTTTACTTTTATCTGTTTCAGTTATCGAAATCATTGTCGATAAACAGATCTACGATTTTTACTTTTTAATCAACCGTTTAATCTAGCTTGCAAAGGTCATGGTCTGTATATTTTGTTGTTTTTTTCTTTTTTTTTTAATATCTTCCTTTCGATTTAGAGTTTAAGCCTTCGTTGGAGCCTCTTCCGGGGTTTTCTCGGTTTCTACGATTTCCGTGGGCGGTGGCAAGGTTGGAATTTCCGGATATTCGAGTTTTGCTCCTTCCTCGCATTCGAAGATGGGACAACAGTCAGGGAACAGGGCGGTCTTGTTAGTTTTGTCTGACAGTTTGCATTTCGGATTAGCCTTTGGGAGCGGTCCGCAGTCCTCGACGAGTTCAAAAAGACGACCGGAATTATCATCAGCTGGCACACAAGTAGAACGACCGCAGAATGGTGTCAGGTCCCAGGATTTCGTTGGTTCGATTGTGGCGCATCTTGTTGAAGCGAAGCACATACCGGGGAAATCTACAAAAAAATTAAACAAGACTGTATAAATATACGCTTGCATCTTAAAATTTCTATCTTCAGCAGTAGAAGAAAAAAATTTTGAATTTAATATAATTCTCACCGAAATATTATTATAACATGCGTATAAAATTTTCGCATGAAATTAAGTTATTCTAATTTAAGTGTTACTGTAGATAAGTGTACGAGTAATCAGATATCATAATACACTGGATAATGCAGGATTTTAAATTATATAAAATACATTACGTAAAAAAGATATCGGATTGATATTGCATTAATTAGAACACTAGATTACGTAACGGGATAATCTTATAAACAGTACAGTAAAACACATAATAGCCTTTCTTTTGCAGAGAGAAAGGAGTTCCTATCGCTTAATGTTGCTTTTTACCAGGAATAACAGGCATCTTGCAGATTTTAAAATCAAATTTTTTTATTGAACAAGAAACAGGAAACGATTAAAAATTAAACTTTCATAAAAAACGAAGTTTCTACTCAAATATTAAATTAGTTACATAATTCCTTAAAAACAAAAAAGAAAACTATGTATTCAACAAAATTTTTCTATAAAACAAGCAAAATTTTAAATGTATCCTGGATGAATCATTTTCACCAATTATGATGTAAAAGTAAAATTTCATGCTATATGAATCACCATTTATACAGTTGTGAGTTTTGCATCAATTCTATATATTATTTAATTACTTGCACACATGTAAAAGATATCGTTATTTTTTAACATAAGAATAGACACATTCATGCATAGTATCCCATTACAATGTGTTTCGACGGGTCGTACTTATTGTTAGATAACAAAGGAGTTCCATTGGTAACGATTCGGCTAGAAACTTCAAGGAGAAACACTTTCACTGTCACACTATGTTACCACTTGTGTAATTATCGTAAACTCAGTAAGACGATTGCTAAACTTCGTTTCTTTTTCTTTTTTCTTATTTTAGAGTTTCCTGAATTTAACAATGGAAGTGAGTCGCTTGAAATAATTAGAAGATGATCTGACAGAAAAGTTTTTATCACTTGGGAAGATAACATAATACATGAAAACTTTAACATATAAGCTGGACGATTGGGGTAATTGTAAAGATCTAATAATTCAAAAGTTGTTTAACTATCTGCTACAGGTAAAATACAAGGTAAAATATAAACGTATTTGTATATGAAAATGAGTTTCAGAACATAGTGAGAAAGATGAAAAAGGAGAAGAATGTCGCTTGTTACTTTCTGTTTATCTGAATAATGGCGTGTCTGTTACCGTTTTCTCGATACCAGTTTCGTCATGTCGGAAGCTTAAAACGATGGGCGTTCACGCCAACGCTAACAATGTCATGGTATATGGGACCAGTTCTTACGGGACTATAAGAAAATGATTCGAGAATTTTTATTCCAAATTGAATGTTCAATCCGAAATCAATGAAACGTGATATCGATGAAATACAGATGTTGAAAAGTTCTCGTCTTTGTTTAGAAAATTAACTAATTTAGAAAATTTAGAAGATTTATTTAGAAAATTAACTAATTAACTAGTCATAAAACAAAGCAATATTTTCATGTAAGTAAAATATAAGTCTATCTCAACGACTCGATTGCTAATAATTAATGTAGATCTTACTTAATCTATGAATCATCGATGATGAATTTGAATTTCCGTGTACAATTGCAAACTGTACAATTGTTGTGAAACTAAAGTAAGTATAAGTGAACAGTTTCACTTTCCTTTCTACATATAACATACTTGGTATAAAAAAAAATTCTATCGAATGTGATTTACGCTAATTGATAGATTGAAGAGCATACCGTTTATATATGCCAACTGAGAAAATTCTGGAAAGGAGAAAGGTATGATGAAGTTTATTCCATGGTTCGCTGTGTAATTTTATTAATAACGTAGAAATCATCGAAGATGAAGGAAACCTTAATCTGATTTCAGTTATCTGATAAAAGGCAACAATTACGATCGTTAAACCGATTCGACTCGCAATTTTTTATTATCATCGTCGAGTTACGTGTATTTATCTGAAAGTAGTTACAACACAAAACCAGGACACAAATTAATTTGTAATTTTTCACAGAAAGATCGATGTTTCCATCGTTTCCGAAGCGAGTCACTTAAGAAAACGGCGTGAAGAATGATTTATAGTGGACAGTTTTAGACTTTCACCGACATTAAGATTCACCTGCCTGCAAGAGAGTCGACTTTCATGCTTGTAGGTGTAATATTACGTCTACTCACTTTGTTTTTTTTTTTTTTTCACCGCGGTCAGTCACGCTTCCGTTTCTCTGTTTAACGCTTTACATGGTTTGTGGATCATCAGTGATCCATGATATTGAAATAGAATTTTCATTGGACAGATAAAGATGTTCTCTGCTATATTTAAGTGAAATAGATGCGCGAAAAGATCAATGTGTATTACATTAAAATATTTAGTCAGAGAACCACTTAATATTAAGATCTCTAATCAATTTATTTCGAAATGACAGTTTTTTTTTTTATTGTATTTACTAATTATTTAAAATCAAACACGTTTCTTCAAGCTCACAATATAACAGTCTCACGTCTCGCTTATTACTTTCAGCAATATTAATTAGAATATTACTATTACTAGAATATTAATTAGAATATTACTATTACTAGAATACTATTACTAGAATATTAAATAGAAGCTTGAGGTAGAGATAATTATACCTCCTGCTATTTACTTGTCAAATTAACAAACCTATGGCCTGCCACACGTTTCAATGAACGTGCGATATTCCCGCGTAATGACACGTTATTCGTTGTGTGGTTAGTCAGTGATGCATATCCTGTTTAGAAAATTAGTCGATGGTCACAGATTGGCGAATTGCACGCCGCGGGAATAATTGGAGAGTAACGAAAGTCTCGAAGCTAAGGGGGAACAACGAAGTATAGCATCAGCTTCTTTCTTTACAAATTTTCATTCGGGCCTCGCTCTCGTCGCCGATGGCCCAACCCAGAACCTACTTTCTGTAATCATCCTGTTTCAAAACGGGTACACCCGAACCGATGTTCGTGACTGTGGAACTTGGCTTCACGTGGGAACACGTGGCAACTGCGCCTAAATGGACATTACTTCTGTTTTTTTTTTATTATTATTATTATCAATCGTTCATTATCTCTTTATATCTCAATATAGTTAATCTAACGCGCACAGTGACGTTTGGTATTTGCACGAATTTGTAAATACGCTCCTAAAGTTTGTTCACCGAAAAGTATTGTATTAATATATTCTTTCTCTATTTGGGAAATTCATTATGCAGTATAGTATTAGTGAAAGAAATTTTCTATCTCGGGTAATTATTTATAGTTCACAATTCTGGTCCCTTTTGCAGATTACAAATTTTCGTTCGTACAGTTCTCTTGTGTCATTCCCGTGTATCAGTGAATCAGCCGTGCGTAAAGTGTTCGTTCGATTGTGAAACGACGTGAGCAATCGATGAACCTATTTTCGATCGAAAATTTCGCAACTTTACGTAATCTCATTATCCTTATTTCGACAGGCTACAAATAGAATGTCCTTAATCTATTATACATAAATGTACGACACCATGTTCGGTGGCGTTTTGCCGCCAGCGATTCGTCAGTAATTCGATTATTCATCGGTATCCAGGTCTGGAGCGGAAAAAATACGGAGTAACCAGGCCAACGGTGTGTGAATCAACAAGGCGCGATCTCCGGATTGTTTTTAGATCATTTTCAACGATATCTAACTGTAAATTACTGGAACGGATCGGCAACTGAGGAAAAACCAAGGACTGAGTTCTGCATCATTGATGATTATCGGCGATATATGGCCGAGTCTCGTAACTTCACGGAGGATTTCCATACGATAAATGCTGCTAACTTGCTTCCTACACTGATTTCCACGAACATTGTGTTCTTGAAACGTCGTCATTGTGATTGTGTATGTCTTATGTTCACCTAGTTACACGCTGCTAATGTCTCCCCTTTCGTAGAACAACAATTTGCCCTTCATACTTGGACAATTGACTTTATAATTTTTTTGGTCGAACTGGAAACTTTAAAACGGTAAGTGGGAGGTAGCGATTAATTTATACAAGTTTTTGTCAACAGTAATAACTTTATTTTCAAAACGAAGCAATTTAATACTAAATTGATTTCAGAATTCAAAAAAAACGACATTTTGCTCAAGCGAGAGAATTTTAGAATTGAGATTCGTTTTCGTAGAAGGTGTTTCACCTTGAAATCACACTTTTCCGAACTCCATATAAAGTGGAAACGAGAAAACGAAATGAGTCAGGTTGGCGGGATCGATCGTAGAAGAAGAAACAAGTCCTCGTACCACGAAGACTTTCACGCGGTGCCACCGTTTCCTAGTCTTCTGTTCGCGTACGCTTCTATTCGTTTAAATTGTTATGCGACAGGATTTACGAATCGACGAACACGTCTCTCTTCATGAGCAATTGTCTTCTTAGTTTTTAAACGAGAAAGATATATCTATCTCTGTTTTTCTTTTTTTTTTATTGTTGGAAACGTATCATACTATGGTGAATAATGCGAGAGGACAAAATAACGACAATGCTAGAGTGAGAACAGCAGGGTCTCAAGGACCACGTTTTTTGGTTGTAAGTGAAAAGTCGAGGGAGCAGGAATCGTCAAATGCAACTATGATTTATGTATTTCTGTAAACTTGTTGGAATGGTCGTTTCATTTTCAATTTTGAAAATGGTTTTCCAAGGTTGAACAATTGTCAATTCGAAGCAAAGAAAGCGTTGAACGATTAACAAAGTAGTTATGTATGTTTACATGATTTTCGATCATTTCTTCTGTTAATTTATTTTTCTAATATTGATTGATGAAATGTATTTTTTAGATATTTTCCAAGTGGATTCAGTTGGAAATCATTCTAATTTCATGATATATACGTACCGGGTCATTCTGATATAATTTTTAAGTAAAAATAACATTGATATGATAACGTGATTGAATGCATATACAAAAGAAAGAAAGAAATTTACTAATCGTAATTATTTGATTCAACAAAGATGCAATAGTTTTGGTGTATTTTAAGTTCTAAACTATATTTTATTATATTTCAAAAAAGGATAGTATTGATAATTTTAGAGTAAAAGATTTGTTTAAATATTCTTAGAAATTTAAAGCTATCTCACAATCTTAGTTCAAATTAATGATCAAATCCAACCTTTCCTAAACTCTCGATATTACTTCTTATTTCTATATCCATGAGGAAAATTTATATTAGACTAAAAAATGAAATATTTCAAATGACGAATTTCATCATTTCATGCTCAAATAAAATAAATTTCAGACGTTGGAAATTTTAAAGAACGAAGAAAAGAAAAAGGATAGAAAGACTCACCGCGAAGAACGTCAGCAGGTATGAGTCTTCTAAACGTTTTTGGACGTTCTTCCTCCTTCTTCTCTTCGGCGGCGAAAACGATCGCTGCGACAAGCAACAAGATCGGGGCGAACTTCATGATCTCGATGATTGCACGGGCAGAGAAAGAGAAAGAGAGAGGAGAGAGCAGGCCCAGCGTACCTCTGAAGAGGAAAGGGAAAAAAAAGATCTTCGTGTACTCTGATTAAGACTGGTTGGGCCCGATTCTCGTGTCGACATTTTATAGCTGTTCATGGGGCGGGGTCCTGTCGTCCCCACCAAACATTTATGGTCTCTCACCTCTTGAATCACCAGTCACCAAAGAATCGTTCACGTCCTCCGATGTTCGATCGTGTGAGCTCCTCGTTCCTCGACAACGGACGGGCATGCACACCTGATCGGTACATAAAATGTGCATGACGATACACACACATATTCCACTTTCACGCTATCAAAATATGTGGAATCGAATCAAATTCACGACCAATGCATTCCACTTGAAAGCGATACATACGACAAAGTGGGTTATTTATTTAGTTTACGGAATCTCTCATTACTTCTTTTTTCTTTTTTCTTTTTTTTTTGGTTTTGTTGTTACAAGTTATTTTAATCGTTAGTTAGCGACGATCTTCAAGAAATTCTTTAATTAATTTAATTAATTAATAGAGAGTATTCGCCGAGGTATTCGTACTCTGTTAATTAGTGGTTTTGTATGATTAATATCTCTTTAGGAGAATAAAGATCTAACTAAGATACGTCGTGTATTAGTTAAGTCTTTCACTGGTATAAATATTATGAAGAAATAACGATGTGATGTACGAAGAATCTAATTAATTTAACGAACGTATCCCAGGATAAAGAATCTATTGTACTTTCAACAGATCGTCGATAGCTAATGTATTAATCAATGCTCAATGAATATCTCCAGCGTCCAAGTTTTTCCTCATAATTTCAGCACTAGGCTGGATCGAAGTAAAAGTTTATATGAATTCAATATTTCGTGACTAAGTGTATTATATTTCCAGTCCAGCGAGCATCAATGCATTTTACAATGTTGGACAAAAGAGACTAACGACTTGTTCGTGAACGGGTCACGTGTCGCGAAATCGTCATTGTACTCGGGGAGAGGGGAAAAAAAAAAGAGGCTGGGTCAGCCCCGTTCTCCTTTCGTTCGCCGGTTTCGTTGTTCTTCTACGCGCGATGCGCTCTCTTGGAGGCTGAAACAGTCGAATCTTTCACAAAACATCGCTTACCACATCACGAGCTGGTCATTACAAAAACCTGTAAAAGCGTATCGTATACTTATTAGACGGTAATTGCCGAGCCATTAAGATGCACGCGCGCATCCTACGTTTCGTAGGGTTGATGCAGAAATTTTGACGGCGCTGCTTCGTGCCCGTTAAAGCTACGGTTCTTTTTCTCAACTAACTTTCGCTGTTTCATTAAAGTGTATCTCGTGCGGCCAATTAAAGAAGCGGTGCTCTCTCGAGAATACCACCGGTAAGAAGGAAACAACAATAACGGGCCATAGAGAGTCTCTTCCGGGCCATTTGAGCCAACGAGTAGGAAGCTAATCGAGACTACTACGTATTCTACAGTTAATAATATTTACGTAATGTGTTGTAAAAGTTACGATCTTAAGAGAAACGGGGTTAATAGTATTTTTGACGTTCCGCAGTTATCACGAGCCTGGTCATTATCGAGTGAAGATTCGTTAATAACCACGCAGTCACATTTTATCGGCCCCCTCTGCTTAATTAACAAGATGAAATGGCAAACAGGATGATCGCGCAGTAAAATCGTGCAACATCACGCGAGGAAAGTAAAGAAGAAAGGGAAAGTTGCCCACTGGCATCGTTCTTCCGAGTGAAGAGACTGTAACCTTCTGAATCACCGATCTCGGAACAAGTTCGTGGTATTTCAAGCGTTGGAGATCGTGTCTTCTGCAGGTAGGTCTGAACATGTTCAGATTTATATAGAAATACAACCGACACGTATTTCTTCCTTCAGAATGATTTTCGACGACGTCGGCACAACGTAAACAACATCATTGCAAGAGATTTCCACGAGACTACATTTCCAAGGTTCGTTCGACGTTAACCGATTTCCATACATTGACCATGGATTAACAACAACGATAAGACAGGGAGGGCAAAAAGAAAAAAAAAAAGAACGTGAATGCCAGAATGAGAGACAGTAAAATCTCGTGCTCGTTTGTTACAACAATTTAATAATGTCATTCGTATAATTTCGTGTTTACTAAGACAGTGTCTCCTTCATCGTCTGCTCTCCTTCAGCTCCATTCCGAAATATGCTCTGCTCTGCGGATATTGAACCTGTTCTGCGAAAGTGCGTTCCCATACTGCGACCTCTAGCTAGATTTTTGCGCAGATAATTGAATCTCTCCAGCCGATGCGTTGGCCTCGGCAGCAGCCTCCAAACTCGCAGCAGCGGCCGCTGCGGCTGCCTGCGCTTCCGCTGCAGCGGAAGCTTGCGCCTGCGCCACGCCAGCTGCGTTCACCACTTGCGCCGAAGCTTCTTCTTCCGCTTCAGCGACGGCATTCACCGAAGCCGCGCGAGCAACGGCCGTCGCCGCTGCTGCCCTTGCCTTTGCAGCCGCGACTGCGGCGGCCGCTGCCTCTGCTTCCGCTTGCGACGCTGCTTCGGAGAGCTTCACGGCGAGTTGGGCTGCGGTGGCTGCACCGGCGGCGACTGCCTCCGCCTCGGCAGCGGCTGCAGCCTCTGCTTGAGCCAGCTGGTTCGATCTCTCGGACTGTAGGGCGGCGCGAGCGTTCGCAGCAGCGGCGTTTCTAGCGAGCACTTCCGCCTTTCCAGCGGCGGCCCTGGCAGCGGCCACGGCTGACTCGGCTTCCTCGGCTGATACTGCAGCCTCCAAGCTCAGCTTCGCCGCGGAGACCGCGGCGGCGGCTGCTCTCGCTTCCGCCGCAGCTGCTGCAGCAACCGCTGAGGCAGCAGCGTTTGTGATCTCGCTTGCACTCGCGGCAGCGGCTGCCGCCGACTTCGATTGCGCAGCAGCTGCAATCTGTGCCTCTGCTGCAGCCTGTCCAGCGCCAAGAGCCGTCGCGATAGCTTCACTGGAAGCCGCCGCCACTTCCGCCGCTCCAGTTCCTAATTCCTTTCCAGGCGTCGGCACCCCGTTCGACGATCCTGACGCTGATGCCGATGCCGATGCCGATTCTGATGCCGATGCCGATGCCGATTCTGATGCCGATGCCGATGCCGATGCCGATGCCGATTCTGATGCCGATGCCGATGCCGATGCCGATTCTGATGCCGATGCCGATGCCGATGCCGATTCTGATGCCGATGCCGACGCCGATGCCGATTCTGATGCCGATGCCGATCCTGACGCTGATATCGATGCCGATGCCGATTCTGATGCCGATGCCGATGCCGATGCCGATTCTGATGCCGATTCTGATGCCGATGCCGATCCTGACACTGATATCGATGCCGATGCTGATTCTGATGCCGATGCCGATTCTGTCGCTGATATCGATGCCGATTCTGTCGCTGATATCGATGCCGATTCTGTCGCTGATATCGATGCCGATGCTTCGACGTCTTCCGATTTGTCTGAGCTGGCCAAGCCCCAAACCAGCAGGGACACTACGAGTACCGATGGAATCTTCATCTTCGAGGCTGTTTCGCAAAACTGATGTCGATTCCGGCACCACTCGCCCGTTTTATACGACCGTTGGCAATTGTGAAAACAACGCTGTTATTACAATGGTTGTTTCTTTGTTTTATGTCTTTATTGATCGAGCTGGATCAATAAAGTTTATTTAGGTGGGCTCGTGTCTGGAACGTGGCGTTTCTTCCTTTTTCGAAACTGATTACAAATTTTTCCCAAATTGTCGCGAGACTTGACTTGAGTTATTTCAATTGTATTAAATGATCCAAAAATAAAGCGGTCGTACTTGACAGCTGCTTTTTTGGAAAGATAAAACAAGCGTCTAGAACGGTGTTTAACTGCAAAGCTTAACGCCACACTGATAAACATTTTACAGCGCACTGTTGCTTCACTGAAAATCAGCTAGTCTAGCATTTTTATCGTTATTTCAATTGCTCTGTTTCAGGTGTTTATTAAAATATCAGACACTTGCGAGGAAAGCGATATAGCTGATAAAAGTACGTTTTCCGTACTAGTGGAAATATCTTCCGGAAAAGTGGATAATAGTTTTCGAAGATAATTCGAGAATTATGAGGGATATTATACGCAAAGTGGATAATAGTTTTCGAAGATAATTCAAGAATTATGAGGGATATTATACTGTGAAATATCGCTTTTAGCATAGAACGCAAATCTCGTCGTTAAACACTTTTACCAAGATGGTATGCGTTTCACCTTTTCAAGATGTTCTATGCTTTCTCTTAATTAAAAGTGATTCCCGATATTCATCGTGATCATGTCGAGATTTTGTTACATTGAGAAATTATTGTCCTATTTGCCATTTTCAAGTCAATTACTCAACGATTGAGTTCAACTTCGTTGAACTTTGTGGTAAAATTGTTTAGATCAATCGAGTTACTCGACTATCAATGCTTTTTGCTTGCGGTTCTGATATTTAAATTTTCTTACTCTAATATTTAAATATTTTTGAATGAAAGTGGAGACAATAAAATACTGTGTTGTCTAGAAAGTTCGTAGCATTTTTCAGCAATTGTTAATTATTAGTTGCTTTGTTTCATGGAATGGCTATTGTTTCATAATAATTTTTTAAAATGAATTTTAAGTATTGGAAAGCTATTAAAAAATTTTATCATCGTAATGGCTTGATGTAATTATTGTAAATATTTCTTAACCCAACCTTTAATTGATCTGCCAATATATAAAATACATTAAATATATTAATCTATTATATTCATATATTAAACAAGCATCATTCTATTTTGCATAATTATTCAGTTACAACCGATAATTCAATATTTATCGATTAAATCAAGCGTGCGTAATGAAATAACCAAACACCAATCTTAAAATACACGAATTTAAAGAAATCAATTAAAGCCTGCACATTTTTATGACAAGATGTCATTGATCATTTGTACGAGACATTGATAATTTATACTGTTTAAATTTTCAGATGCTAAAAGCATAAATCATTTTTATTCTTTCCTACAATCCAATCCTTGAAACATAATTTCAATTCATTGATCTTCAAAGGATGATTCACGGGAAAAGGAGGACAGTGAAAATCAAGAAGATACATGTTTGTTAAAATAATGGACCTTTATTATCACGTGGGTAAGCTCACTTCGACAACGCCAATGCTACTCTTAATTTTTAATCGACACTGTCTGGTCGTTTTCTAACTATACATCCAAATATATAAATCTCCTATCCGTTTCCAGTGCAAATTTCTCAAAATCGTCCAAGAAGAGAGACTTCCTCTTCGTCCCCCGTTTCGGATGCCACTTCACTTCTACGCTTTAACCTCGGAAGCCTGTGCCTGAACGATCGTTTGAGCAGCAGAACCGCTGGACTTTTCAAGTCCTAAGATGACCCCATCACCGACAGCCGCGGCTGCGCTGGCCTCCGCTGCCGCTGATGCTTCCAGTTGGGCAGTTGCTGAATCCTCTCTGGCCCAGCTAGCCGATGCCTCGGCAGCCGCTCTGCCTTCCAGCCTGGAAGCAGTCTGCGCCTCCGCCTCGGCGGCAGCCTCTGCGCTCGCTGCATCGGCAGCTAGCGCGGTGGTCTTACTGGCAGCGGCAGCAGCAACTTGCGAGGAAGCGGTGGCTTTCGTCTCCAAAGCGGCTGCAGCGGCGGCGACCTCAGCGGCCAGTGTGGCCCACCATTTCGATTGCGCGGCAGCGTCTGCCCCTCTGGCGGCGGCGGCTGCCTCGGCAGCGGCCAACGAGGCCACTCGTTTCTCCAAATCGCTGGAGACGTCCTGTGCAGTGGTGGCCGTGTTGGCCGATGTTTGGGCGCGCGACAGCGCGGACAATGAGGCCGCGACTGCGGCATCCGCGCGTGCAGAAGCAGCCTGTTCCTCGGACTGAGCTCTCAACGCGGCCAAAGCCTTCTCCTGGGCCAGAAGTTGTGCCTCCTCTGCTTCCTTCACCGCGGCAGCAGCTTTGGCCGATGCAGCGGCGGCCGCTGCCGACGCGTTCAGCAACGCCTCGGCGAGAGCCAAAGCGGAAGCCTTCGCCTCGGCCGATGCTTTGGCCTCTGCAGCCGCGCTCTCCTTGATGGCCGCCAGAGACGGAAGTACGTCCTTGCCAAGTATCGGGGCGCCGTTCTCCTTTCGTTTCGCGCTAATCTCCACATTTTTCAACAGGCGCGTCTCCTTCAGGACAACCTCCTCGCCACCTGCATGTACCAGGCTCCATGTGAACAGGCACGTTACGAGAACCGCTGGGATCTGCATGGTCGATGGGACTTTGCCGATTGATGCCGACTCTTCTGGCGCGAGTCGATTATATACAGGGGGGTGCAGTTGTACAAACAGTCAGGGGAGATGTTAGGGTATACGCAGTTGTGCAAATGCAGGAGAATGTTGTTGCGGGACGATGCCTCGATAAAGTTGTATTGTTATTTCTTTCGCGTTCGCAGATAGTGTTTACAGGTGCGCTTTGCTTTTTTTTCTGGAGTAAAATATGAACGTTGTTGCGACAGCAGACAGAGGTTTGCTCGAAGATAAATGTTTGGTGAAACAACAGAGAATCGTGATTCTGTTGTTCTACGACACTCGGAGACAGATTTTTGGACTTGGTGCCGAATATTATTTATTGATAATTTAGATATGTATCTGAAACCTTGAAACATATTTAATTCGCAGGGCAATTTTTTAATCCAATAGGTTATTATTAATAGTGAAATTCATCTTCAAATCCAGTAGAGATATTTCTTTCGAATAATGAAATTATTACAGTTTTGATAATAAAGTTATTACACTTTTGATAAGAGCCGTAAGCCGTCATTTTAAAATTAACACAGTAGATTGATTACTACAAGTTGATAAATTTAGAAAATTTTATAGTGTTCAGGGTTACAATACTTAGACATGTGATATTTATTATGATACTTTGATCTATATCACAGTCGTGACATTAACATATACATATATCTATGTCGTTTATGTATTTTTTATTTCAGAAGATATGGACTGTACTGGAGATAAAAATATACTTTATTTTTTAACCAATAGAATCAACGTCAGTAGGATTATTTCTGTGTATAAAAAACACAAAGATTTATTGCTCGCCTTTTAAACATTTTATTAATTCTTTTCTTGAAAATATGTTACAATATGTTACAAGTAGTATTTCAAATCCAGTGAGGAACGTAACGTGTTCCATCCAGCCTGATATCACGTAAAAATTAATAGTGCAAATTTGGAATCGATATGAAGAAGGTCTTCATTTAAGAAGTTGAACGACGCTAGTTTTATTAAATTTAAGTATAATTATTTATAACGCAACCAACAGATACATAAAATCAATGTATCTATTGTCAAACTTATGATACATTACATCTATTATGCGTCTACTACCGTATCTAATTATGTAATAATTTCTTTTAGACAACAGGAGTTCAAGACAACAAACGATTCGTGGAGAAAGGAAGATTCAAACGTATCTATCGCGCATAAAATATCTTCAGCATGAAAATAAAATTTAAAGGAATGAAAGGGGAATGGCTCTCGTGATCAGAGAAGGAAGAAAACATTTGCAAGATGTTCGGGTTGCCATAGCAATTTATTTCAACTAAAACAGTACACGGACGAATCTCAACTGCGTGTTAATCATTATCTGTCCTCAAATAATCCCGCCGATAATCATCAAATGCGTTTAATCAAATTATCAAACTAATCGTCTCTCTCTCAGCTTTTCTATCGCCGGTGTTGACCCTTGCTCTGACTTCAGTCATATCTTTCTTCCTGTCTCCCGCTTAGTTCTTCTTCTCGCCGATGATGCTCTTTGCCCAAGCGGCAGATCTGGTCGCTGTCTCAGCCTCCGCGGCGGCGACCGCTTCTGCCGTGACCAGGAGAGTTTCAGCTTCCGCCACAGCGGCTGCTTCCGCGTTCGCCGCCTGTGATTCCAGTTGAACAGCCGTGGCAGCCTGAGCAGTGGCACTTGCCTGAGCGCTCTGCGACTGCTCGACGGCGACCCTAGCCTTCGCCAGCGCGACTTGGGCCTCGGCTGTGAGCCTGGTGGCCTCGGACTCGGCGCTAGCTGCTGCTCGAGCTTTGGCCAAAAAGCTGGCGGCCGCTTTGCTGGCAGCTGACGCTCTAGCTTCAGCTTCCGCCGCAGCTGCCGCTTCAGCTGCTGAAGCTTTCGCCGCGATGGCTGCCTCGGCGTTGGCTCTCGCCTGGGCCTCGGTGGAAGCCTCGGCCGCCGCTGCAGAAGCTCTGGCAGCGGCGCTTGCTGCGCCCGTCAATTGCGCTGCCCTCTTCGTCGCCGAAACTGTCGCTTCGCTGGCCTGCGCCGCATTCGTCAACAGCTTGCTGGCTAGCGCGCTCGCCTCGATGGCTTTCTCGCTCTTGGCTATAGCAGCGGCAATCGCAGCGCTTGCTCCAGCCTCCGCGGCCTGCGTGCTTTTACCCTGACTGGCAGCGGCGGCGGCTGCAGCTTGCGCAGCTTCGCCCAACTCCAACTTCAGGCCCACGTTGGCCGTCGCTCTGGCCGCTTTGATCGCGTTCTCCACAGAAGCACCGAGCGCGTCGGACCCATCGCCGAGTACCTGACCGGGCGGCTTCGGCTGTGTGTCTCGTTTCACCACGTGGCCCTCGGACAGACCACCCCAAACCAGCAGGGACGTGACGAGTATTGCTGGAATCTTCATGGTCGACGCAGCTTCGCTGATTGATGCCAATCCCGGGCACCGTTCGCCGTTATATACCGACGTCCGGACAATTGTAAAAACAGCAAGTGTGGCTGCTTTTGGGGGAATTTGGCGTCTGTTTTGAGAGACCATCAGCCTGAAATATTGTTTCAATGGGTCGCCAGGGGAGAGGCGGTTCCCTGCTGGAGTTTTGTTATCGCTTGTTTAGTTAGGTGCAGCGATTATTTGTGGTTAAATGTTTGCCTCTTGCCACGCATCCCTGAACAGTGTAGAAGAAATTGAGCTTGAAATTGAGAAGTTCTGGAAGGAGAACAAATAGTAGTTTGGAGACTTCTTCAATATTCGAAATTGTTTCTTGCAAACGTGTATTTTAACAAAATAGCGTGGAGCAGGCTGAAATTCTCATACGGAACCCAGTTTTTTTTTAACCCATCGTTGAAGTCTCCAAACATTTGAATAAATTTTCGAGTCTTCTTGTTTCTCAATCAGATAATGAATAACTGAATATTCATTCGCTAACATAAACTAGTTTCAACAGAAATCTCACTTGGCTTGCAACCGGCTGATAATGATAAATTTTATTAATTAATGTAATATAATCAGAGTTTAATTAACATGATTAATTTAAGCGATCGCTTGATAATAATGAATTTCATTAATTAGTACGAGTACAGTTGATGGAGTGAGTCATTCTTAACATTATGAACAAATACGCGAGTAATGCGAAGAATATCTTTGTTATAACATGTTATTGCAACAATTGTTTTTATTATTTTGCCTGTACAATATTAAAACAGATGTGTCAATACGATAATATAATACAATTTGAAAATACGTGAAACACAGAAATTATAATAATTTTAAAGTTATAAGAATTCGAGACAGAATTTTGACGAAGACAGTTCAAATTCAATTTTGAACAACAATATATAGTTTCATCTTATCATGTACATTACACTGCTTTATAATGATAATTACCTTAACAAAAAAGAAAACATAGTAAAATACAAATTTAAGTTCTACAAGTTAAAATAATTCAATATTTTTCTCTTTTCTATATTAATGCCATTGAATCTCTTGAATAGTACCAGTATCATAATGATATTAATGTTAATGATATGATTTCTGTTGTTCTAATCTTAAGATTAGATTTCATTTAAGACTGCAAACGCAACAAATTCACTTTGCTCTCCAATCAGTCGAAGAAAGAGGTTTGTAAGAATATAAAGTAAAAGACGAGGATTTTTTTTATTTGGCAGCAACAGTTCCTTTATTCAAATACGTCAAACCTCCAATTGCAAACGGCATATCAAAACAAAATTTATTTTAATTAAAAGTGCAAAAAAGAGCTAAGATTCTATCAATCTTAATCTCTCATTTCGCTGACGCGGAAAGGACAAGAAAAGGCAACGCAAAGAACAATACCACAGGATTTTACGTGTATACTAAATTTATTTTTCATCGTTACAATTCTCCGTCTAACTATTAGGCATGAACATTTCCTCCAGAAACAACGAATACATCAACAACCAAACATTTATTTTCGAACGAGATTCGTTCCCTGAGAATTGTATCCCGTCATCTTAATTTGATGATGATCCTTTCTCTTTTTCTTTTATCGACACGCGACTGCTTTCCTCCGCGCTTGCTTCTGCGCTGATCTCTATGCTCGACTCAGACGATCCCCGTGCAGGTTTCGGACTCGGCAATGGTAGCGGAGTCGGTTTCGGACTCGGCAATGGCAGCGGAGTCGGTTTCGGGCTCGGCAATGGCGGCGGAGTCGGTTTCGGACTCGGACTCACAATGATCCCCTGGGCAGAGTCGATGTCAGCCCCGACGACAGCCGTCTCGGAGTTTCTCGAGCTAGCTTGGGCGGCGGCGCGTGCGCTGGCCGATAGGGAGGCGTCGATTTCCCTGCTCTTCTTGTCCAACTCGGCGATCAGCACAGCGACCTCGTTCCTGGCCGCAGCTTGGGAGGCGCTTCTCGCGCTGTTCGCGGCGGCTTCCTTCGAGCTGGCTAACGCAGCTGCGGCAGCCCTGGCCGCTGCTTTGGCCGCGGCTGCCCTAGCGATCGCTTCTCCCGCTCGTCTCTCGGCCTTCAGGGCTGCCTCGGCGGCTACGCTGGCTGCCGCCGTCGCCTCAGCAGCGGCTTCAGCCTTGGCCCTCGCTTCAGCCGAGGCTGCGGCTTGAGCTTTTGCTGTCTTCTCGGCGAGTCTCGCCTGTACAGCGGCAGACGCTACTGCGGAAGCGGACGCCTTCACAGATGCGGCAGCCTCTCTAGCTGCAGAACTGGCCGATTCAGCGACCGATTTCGCCTCCAGTCCGGCGTTGGCTGCTCCCGCTGCCGCTTCCTCCGATGCTTTCGCTTTCGCTGCTGCCTCCGATTGCGCAGTCGCCGACTCCTCGGTCAAGCTGGCCGTTTGATCGGCGGAGGCGCGTGCCTCGGCAGCGGCCGCCGCCGCAGACTCTGCCTGAAGCGCGGCATCTTTCTGCGAGGCAACAGCCACCTGGCCAGCACGCAGCCCGGATCTGGCGGTGACAGCGGTAGACGCGGTGGCCGATGCTCTACTCCTCGCAAGCTCCAGCAGGGAGGAACTCGAGCCGGCCGAAGCGAGCCCCAAAAGGTACAGGCACGTTACGAGCAGTGCTAGAATCTTCATGTTCGACGACGCTTCGCGAATTGATACCGAATGTCCGACCACCGACGGATTTATACCACGGCCGACAGTTGTGAAAATAGCAAAACCCGTCGAGGTTTGAAAATATTGTTTCAGCAGCGTGGCTTGGTGTTCCGAAGGTGTTTAGCTTGCAACTAAAGATGTTTGATCAAGCGCCGTTATCGGCGGGAAGCGTCGAACGATCGACGAATCTGAATAACGACCTTCATGATTTTAGAGCAAGTGATATCAGAGTAAGTGGCATTCGTCGGCAATTTGTTCAACTTTCTTCAACTATTTTACAACTACCTTATATACTTTTTAATTCAATTGAGGATAAATTGTATCATTTGAGATGTGCAACGTATCGTAAAAAAATATTTAAATGCAAGGTTACAGCGAAATAAATATAAAAATCTGAATCAACTTGAATCAATTATCTTATTTTAGAGATAACTACTGACATTTGCGTATCTCTTTTTATAAATTGTACAACTTGGAAACCAGCAAAATTAGATGTATTTAATAGTTTGTATTATTTTTTTTAGTATTTAGTATTTTGTTATTATTTCTGTATTTACTATTTAGATTTTAGTTTTTACCACTATTCTAATATTTCAGTATTTTTATTACCAATTTACTGTTTTTATTCATATTTTTGTTCTTTTTATTACTTTTTTCCGTTGTTTCTGTTTGTTGATGCAATGTCTTCATTGCCAACGAGCAATCTTTCTTTGTCTTCCTTCGCTCAATTTGCACAAGATGTTCCTGACAGTGAATGACATAAATGTATAATAAATATAATTTTATTATTCATGTGATTATTATTATGAGTCGGGTGTCTGTCACTGTGTTGATACAATATCGGTGATCCGGACGACTTTAAATATGATTAGTGGAATATCCGTGTGAGTCAAAAATGACTCCAGCACTGGACGCTGAGGTTCAGTAGTTTAACTTTCGTCATTCGTCTCTCGTTTTTCTAACTTGATTTATCCCTTGGTATCAAATTGGCAATGATAAAAATCAATGAAATAGAAAGATATCGCACGGTTAATTTTTTCACAAATTTTTGTACTCCGAACGAAGAAATAAATATTTATTATTAACAATCGATTGCTCGCATCTAATTTTTCCGAGTTTTCTCTAAATTTTCGCGCACCATGTACATTTGATTTAGCAATACCGATATTTTCAATTGGTTTCATGAACAATAAAAATACTGATAGTTGGATCTAAAAAAAAAAAAAGTACATAAATTTCTCTTTGACATTTTCTTTGTCCATTTGGACATTATTTCTCCGAAAAGCATCAGTTCCCGAGCGATATAAAATTTTGAGAGGGAGAGAGGAGGGAGAGAGGACTTCCAGATATAAAATTCTAATTTCAGGTGATGTTAACAAAAATCTTTCGACACAATGCATTACAAACGTCGCTACATCGACTACTTTCATTGTAGTATATTACACGCAAGAAATCTATGTGTTCTGTTTCTCGTACAAGAAACACATTATACAAATCAAGAGACAGAATGAACTTAGTAATTTAACGAATTATTGATAAAATTTCATGTACGGTCTATATTTAAAATTTCGTAGAAATTCTGCGAAACAATGACTGACGAACTTAAAGGAACTTGAAGGAAACGGATACAATAAAAGACAAGATTTCCATTACTACAATGTTGTATTTATAATTCCTCATATTTCTCATCCGAAGAAATCAAAGCATCATTTCACATCTCTCATTCTCATTACTGTCGAGAGCAATTTTTTACGACTCCCTGCCCTTTGCTTTCCCTTCGTTCCTCCCATCTTCCACCGTTCTCCGCAATGCTGCCGCCTGTTGCTCGTTGAGCTTGCTGCCAGAGGAATCCAATCCGAGGACGACTCCGTTCCTTACACCTTGAAGCGGACTGGCATGGGCCGCGGCCGCGGCTTCAAGACCAGAAACTTCAGCATTTAGTTCCGCCAGGGTGGCTGTTTCCTCCTTGGCTGCAGCGTTAATTTCCACCAGAGCGGTTTCCGCTAGGGCTTCCACGGTTGCCTGAGAGGCAGCCAACTTGGTGGCAACACCCAGAGCGTTCGTCTGCGAGCTTATCAATTTATTAGAAGCGGCAGCCGCAGCGGCGGCCGCGCTAGCAGCCGCTTCCGCGGAAGCTTTCGCCCTTGCAATCGCGTTCTTGTGTATCTCGGTTCTATATTTCGCATAGTCGATGGCGGCCCCTTCGGCAAGGGCTGCCTGTACAGTCCTGTTAATTATGGCAAGTGCTTCCGCTTGCAAAATCGCCGCAGTTCTCGAAGAGATCACAGCCTGCTCGACCGCGGCGCTTAGTGCACTGGCTGCCGCTTTAGCGTTGGCAGCGGAAGCCGCCTGAACAACGGTGGCCCTCTGAGCGGCCAACGCCTTCATAGCGGCGTTTGCTCGTGATATCGCCGCGATTCTGATCGACTTGACAGCTTCCTTTGTAGCCGCGCTCCTGGCCATCGAAGCTTCCGCCGAGGCTCTCGCCTTTTTCTTCAGTTCCTCCGTGATCACGATTTCTTCTTTGACGGTGGAATGAGCATCCAAGATGGAGATGACCTTGGCCTGCAGCATGGAACGAGCCTGTTGCTCCAGCCTCGCCTTTAGCTTAGCCTGCGCTGCCTCCTCGGAGCTAGCCTTCGCCACTGCTCGAGCGGCAGCCACAGCCTCGAACTCCGATTTTACCAGAGCTTCCGCTTTCGCTCGAGCTTTCGCCTCTGCCTGAACCTTGGCCTGCGCCTCATGAAGCGCCGTCAATTGCAGCTTCAACAACCTTCGAGCCTCTGCCGCCTCATTCTCCGCCTTTGCTCGTGCCTCCAGTTCCGCCTTGATCCTAGTCTCCGACCTCGTCTTCTCCTTCCTGAGAAACTCGAGTTCCTCGCTGAAGGAACTCCTCGACTCGTTGCTCACGCTGCTCCAGCTCCATGTCTTGGTCGGCCCTCTCTTCTTCACGTACGTCTTGGCGATTTCCTCCTGCTCGGCAGATTCCTCAACGACTTTCTTCCACTCGTCGGAAACCGACCCCGCGCCGCTCTCAGTTTCGGCGATAGATTTCTCCTTAGAGAGTAACTCGTCCACGATCGAAACGTCGCTGGCGAATCGCTCTTCCGATTTTGACGACGCTTTCTCTTTCTCGATATCGAGTTCCTCATTCTTCACAGTGGCCGACGATGATGACGCCGCATGTTTCGACGATATTTGCACGGACGAAGAGGAGAACGATTCTGTATCGAGCGTCGAGACTGTCTCTCCGTGATTACCGTGCCGTATCCCATCGTGTCTCACATCCTTTAGTTGGTCATCGTTTCTCTGATCCTGCGCGTCGAGACCGCTCGCGAGTATGATTCCATGGTTTGTCAACACCCAGGTTACAAAACAGGCGACAAATATCTTCATCGCTTCGATGGAGCGACCTGCATTGATCGCCGTTTTCACGACCCGTCAATTATATACCGTGGTGAACAGTTGTGAAAACAACTGTCGAATTTGATGACGCATCGGCGGTGTTTTTGCCAATTGAAAAAAAAAAAAAAAACGCCAAATTTGACACAGCGAAGTCGAGTCTCTTTATAGAAAAACTACTCTGGGTTTTGTCAAGAATTTGGATCGAGCGTTCAATGACAACGGCGCTAGGTCTCGGGGGATGCGAGATTTACTATTTTTCATAATTTTTTAGACACATCGCAAGCAGGGGAAGCTTCGAACGTTCGTGTCAGCTTTTAGAATTTATTATCGATCCTTCCATTGGGAGTTTCTTTCACGAAGGTTCTTTCTCGAAGAACGATGAAACTTCTAGAGAGATTTTATTGACCCGCGTCGGCGAGACTGAGCGAGACACTTCGTAGCTTGAAGAGTTCTGCAGCGAAAACGCTGTACGTGTTTTATTATATACCGTTCTGAACTCTCACGTTTCCTTAAATAAACCTCCGTGTAATAACAACGTGTGTATGTAGTATGTGTGCAGCCCTCGCCCCACTACCATGTCTTTTTTTAACATCCACACTTGTATTTTCTTCTTCTTCTTTTTTTCCCTCCTTTGCACGTCGTAATAAAAATTCTCGATCGGAAACAGTACGAACTTCGATAAACGATGACGTCAATTACGATTTGCTCTCGCGAATGGCGAAGAGAAGTTTCGAACAACTGGGAACTTTCGAAAATTCAGTGAGGTGATTTTCGTATCAGAAACCGGGGAGAAAAGAACCGCTTCAGTTGCGTCACTTACATAGGCCTGCACATCGTTTCTTACTTTCAGTTTAGAAGTGGAAGTTTTTCTCTTCGAATATCCATCCGAATTATTCATATTCGTCGCTGACGCAGAGCTCGTCACGATCGAACGAAATCGTGTACACAACACAGCGTCCATAATACTCGCGTCTCACTGGTAATTTCCAATCCACTTTGTGTAACAATTGTTACATAATACGCTCGATCGTGGAATAACGTGCGACGATTTTCTTCTCAAATAGAAGAAACGAATGATATCGATTGTTCGAGTCACTACGATCATTCGTGTGATGTGAAATCCGGAATGTCAGGTTCAACTCGTGTGTTGCAACCGGTTATCCGCTGCGGGATTTAGTAACATGGACAATTGGCTTCCAAGTATTCCAGAGAAGGTGGCTGAAGCGTCCAAGGCCGAGCTCAAGCTATTGTTGATTACGATTTATTAAACGGTTGCCATTAGATCACGAGGAAAGCAAACGCCACTTGCTCTCGCGACTCTCTGAATTGCTCCGTTCCACTGTACGGCAAAAAAGATCGCGATACTAATTTGTAATTGCTGAAGAAAACTCAGGTGAATTCAAAGTAGTATCGTTTTCTACATACTTGATTCCTATTTAAAAAAAAAAAAAAAAAAAAAAAAAAAGACGCTCTCGCGCGCCTTGGAAAATTTCGAAAATAATCAAACACAGGTTGCGACGGTCGGCTCATCCTGCAAACAGGATTAGGGCGAGACGACACGATGGGTCGTCGGTCGAGGGTCGACCAGTGAAAAAAAGGTGACCACCGTCCTACCTGTGGAAAGTCCAAGCTCAAACTTGACTTTGCCCTGACTTCTCTTTTCATCCCTCGGCAGAGAAATTTGTTTCTCCGGCGTAGGGTTGTTTATACGCGGCGTGATTGCTTCTTTATCTGCGCGCGGGACGACCCGCCACGTTCGTGCGATTGCTCGCCAAAACCACGTCGTGTTTGCTCGCGTCAAATATTTTCTAATTACTTTCAAAATACCATTAGGTCCACTCTTGTGCGTTGAAGGTCGAAGCATCTCGTTTCGAGTTCTTTGTGTGCGACACTTTTGACGAGATTTGGACCTTCGAGTTAGAATTGTTATTCCATGCGGATTTAATTTGTTCATATGGGACAAATACCCTTTAAGGGGGGCAGGACAGTTTGACGGGTCTAAAAATTACGAATAAGAAAAAAAAGTACATATTTGACATGAGCTTTTGTGGTTTATTTATAACACATTATGAACACGAAAAGCAACATTAAAAGAGAAATAAAGACAGCTCTTGTTTGATTTTTTAACTTTTTCAAGTCCTTTTACATAACTTTTTTTTACATTGCCTGTCGGCAAAATTCCAGCCAAACATGGATTAGCTGCAACAAAAAAGGCAAAAAAAGTTCAAAAGTATTCTATAGGGATTGATATTCTACAGGGATTGACGATCCAGCATTTTCATTTCTGTGAAAATTATGAAAATGATAGCTATTTGTTTCTGATGTATCGAATTTATACCAAAAATTTCTACGTCTTTTTGTTTATATTTTTCGAAATTGTTAAAAATTAAAAAATATTCGATCGTCAATCCCTAGTAAATGTTACACTAAAGATACGTACCGAGTTTCACAGTGAAAAAAAAAAAAAAAAAAAAAAAANGTATCGTTTTCTACATACTTGATTCCTATTTAAAAAAAAAAAAAAAAAGAAAAAAAAGGAGAAAGAAGAAACTTATTACAAAAGAACAGCATGACCCGAAATCATGGCAAATTAATGGTTTCGTGCCGGATACGTGAATGATGCAATTTTTTACGAGTCCCGTAACCGGATATCGTTGTATTGTAACATATGCGAATAACGTTCCGATCTAGTTAAATTATACCAACGTGTATCACGCACACGTGCAAAATTTTCCAGCTCGCGTATACTCGTGTAAGTGCACGATGCACTGTTTAAATGTCGGTGAAAGGGAACTTCGCGCGAAACACATATAATTCTCGGATTTATTGCGAATTTTTTGCGCCAATAGATTTACTACGCTCGATATTATTCATACGTGACAGACAACCAATTTACATGCGGATATGTTTCAACAATATGTTTTTAATCAGTATTTTCAATGACAGAGGAACATTGAAAACTCTTGTACCTCTGCACGCAAGGTATTGTATTTTTTTTCGTTCGCAAGAAAGAACGAGAAATATAAAAATACGAAGCATACAGCTCGTTTGTTAGAAATCGATCTTTTTGGTACACAAAGTTCTTATCGTCAACTTAGAAAACTAGCACAACTGTTACACGCTGTCCAGCCTAGCGAGGTCTTCAAAAATTTTCTTATACAATACGGAACTTGACATACACGTTTCTGTTCTTCAACAATTGCGAAAAGGTGAAAGTAGATTGGAATAATCCTCCGACACAGTTGAGATCATTTTCTTTTCTTTTTCGTTGTTTCATTGTTTGTAGACACAAAGACGCCATGTGAAATCGCCAGCGAATGATTTCAATTGGTTTTAACATTAGTATTTTTAGAAATATTTATCGTTCTGTTAAAACCGAAGCTACAATGTCGAAATAACGTTACTCTTCAAGGTGAATTCGTAGGACAATCCGTGGACAATTAAGAAATGGGATGTGTAACTGCAAGTTTTGTTTTCTGACCACCAATCAAGCACTCCTGACTTGCAGTCATGTAACTTGCCCTTGGCATAATTCAGATTGTATTATTACATTCATTGTTAGACTCTGAGAAACTTCCCATGATACTCATGACAGGGATTGTGCCAGAACCATCATGAAATCTTTCATTGATGTATGCAATTAACGATGCCGTGTCAGTGAGAATAAGATGTGCATCCAAACTCAAACCAGGAAACATATGTACTTGGTATCTGAACGAAACTTAATATCTTTTCTTCATCTGTGATGAAATTTCATACATAATTTTCATTCGTTGTTTTGTCATAATATGAATTAGATTTAATTTTAGTAAGATCTAGTCTTCTTTAGCGATGATTGATAGAAAATTGGAATGTTAATTAGAATTGTGAAACGTTACTCGAAGACTTGCTTCTGTTAATGGGTATCATGTATCTAGTGAAAGTTACTTTTACTAAACGAGTGTTGAAAATTTCTTCAGGCTAAACATAAATCATTGTAAAAGAGATTAATGTGTTTATTCAATTGAATATATGTACATACGTAATGCTATTCTGGTTTTCAAAGTAAAAATAGTATTCTAATTTCCCTTAGTTAAAAGTTAAATACAAATGTCTATGTACGTGAGGATCCTTTCGTTACTATTATACATCAATAATTAAAATAATTTCCAAATTACTTTAGAATTATTTAATAATTAAAATAATTTCTAAATTACTAATGGAAAAAAATTATTACATATGTTTAACTTAATTTTAATAGAACGTTACATATTTGAGCGTTACATACATGATTTTTGTTATGTACATGCAAAATAACTGCTGACTAATTTTATTAAATATGCATTGTACATGGCAAATTTAGCAAGGTGAATTTTCTCTGTATCACTGTACTTCACAAAAATTAGATTTATAAGTTAACTATTCTTCAAAAATTAATATTATGAACTTATGTTCATTTCACTATAATAATAGTGAACACAGCATGTCTCATTTATTCAAACGTATATTTAAACATAAATTTAATATTTATATATTTATATTTATATTTAATATTTAATATTTATATTTAAAATTTTTCTTTAATATCTTCTATACATACTTATAATTGAAACTAAAAATAAAATCATATTTTCTTTAAATATAAATACATATGATACTAAATAATGATTAAAACTAAAATAGGATTTGTTTTGTATCATAATAATAAATTTTGCTGTGAATTTCAATTTCTAACTTATTATGATTTTATCTCTCCAATATCTTCTTCTAATTTTAATATTTATACAACTATTTAATTGTTAACAATTATCCGTAACAAGTATTTGAGTTCTTGAATAAAATTGTGATGAGAAATCTTTCTAATATTAATAAATAAGGCAAATGTGTGTCAATAGCATGCTTAAAAACAAAATTAAGTGGAGATTTTTTATTTATGTATTATAATTTTTATATATTTAAGCTATTAAAAAATAATAATTACTAAAAACTTTTTACATTTATATTTGATATTTTATGTCCACTTGAAATTAAATATGTATTATATAGCAGAATTGTCACGGATATATAATTTCATATATTTGATTTAATCTCATATTTAAAAAAATGTACATACTTTATAATTATATTGTTGAAAATGCAATGAAGAAGTTTCAATTTTATTAGAAAATAGCTACACAGATGAAGAGATAATGTATATTTAAAAAAAAGTACATGAATAATTAGTACTTTCCAATAATTCATTTTTCTTTTTATATGTATGATGAATTGATTGTTTATATGTATAATGATTGATAATTTATATATTTAATGACTAGTGTTTATACTATACGGCTAAGATGAATAAGATGAAATAATTTAACTAAAAATATACATATATTTGTTATTTATGTATATATAGATATAATATGTTTCTCTATGCTCTACCTTCATCTTTTTTCTAGATATAAGAAATATTAATAGAAAAATACTTATGGAATTTAAGTGTTTATTCTTCTCAAATTAAATTAGATCCAAAGTAATATTTCTATGTTCAGTAAAACTTTGTAAGATATAGCATGTGTCGACATGCTTACATATCGACAAATGCTAGACTTAGATTAGCTAGAAACAAGAATTTACAGCTTATGAATTTATGAACTTTTAAAGAAAATAGGTACTCCAATCAGTGAAAATCATCAGACAATGAACAATTTATGTCCATTAGTAATGAACATATTGTCTGAAGATATATATTCTATATTATTTATTCACAGCCTATTTTGTCATTCTAGAACATTTATTATACATATTCTTTTTTTTCTTAATACATCATCTCTTCTTCTATACTGTATAAAATCAATTTTGAATGATACATGTACCTTAAAGGAATACGAATTTTATTCAATAAGTGCAAATCGTTCTTGCCAAATATGAATTCTGTGCTGAACTGTTAATATTGGATTAAGAACACGTTCTATACAATTTATTCGACTTCTAAATCGTTCTGTGTCTCTAGCTATTTCTTCCCATGGACCTTTCCGAGCTGCACGGTATGCATAGTCCCATTGAACCATTAAATGAACCACTGGATTCAAATTGAATTTTACCTATAATAAAAATTATATTGTTTATTATCATAGAATTTTAATACAAACAAGTTTAACTAACAAATAATTACTTGTCGGATCGGAGTCGCAGGTTTTTCGTCTTTATACGTTATTTCATCTTCGCTTATTTCATTTATATCACTCTCTTCGCTTATTTCATTTATATCGCTCTCTTCGCTATCTTCAACATCACTTTTAAAAGTTACTTCAGAATCAGTCTCAAACACTATGCAATAACTATCTTCTGAACCAGTGGAACTTTCTGATATTGAACGTGGTCGAAAACCATAATTAGAAGTATCTGTTTGCTTTAAACATTCAGGTATTTTTGCAGAAAATTTAGATATGTCATAATTAACGTTTCTGCGTATTTTCGGTTTCTGAATTTTGGGTTCTACATCGGCAAAGGTATATGTTACAGGACTTATTCTCTCTTCTATAATATACTGTACAGCATCTACTACATCCTCATCTAAACATGAATCTTCCGATTCTTTATTTTCTGTTGTATCGGACTCTTCAAGTTCTTGCCAGCTTTTAAAATCGCTTTCTATGTCTATTGTAATGTCATGTTTCCGTTCCCTTCTGTGTCTTTTTTGACTGACTCCAGAGCGCCTAAGCTGCGATTTTGCTCGCCCCCGCCCTCGACCTTTTGCCACTGTAGTAAGTTTTCTTCGTTGCTTCGATGAAACTGATGCTTTTGCTGGTATATTCGACTTCTTAAAATCTGTTTTAGAAAATTTATCTGTTACGCCATCAATAATTTTTTGAAGCATATTTGTGAACAAATTTGGAAATGTGGATTGTTGAATTGTCTCTGTACTTAATGTATTTGTACTATGCGTTAAAAGAGAATTTTCCATATTTACAGTCTTATCACCCCTACTATTATTACAATTAAAAAGCTGTTCTGTATTAGATATATCCTTATTATATGTTTCTTCAAAAATATAACAATTTTCTTTAACATCCACTTCCTTTGTGTTCGTATCAGAACAAATGTATTCAAATTCCTCATCACTTTCTATATTAGAATTTTGAATTGATACTAAATAATTACAATCAGTTGTGTTATATTTAACACCTTTATTAATATCTAATTTCTTCTCATCAGATTTCTCTGCATCTTTATTCTTACTATCAATGTATTCATAATTAAATTTCAAATTATCTTTTGTATTTTCAAAAATTTTACTTATGCAGAGTTTCTTTTCATTACATATATTATTACGAATATTCTCAACGATATTTAGGGATTCTTTGATCTCATCATTGTGAATGTACATATTGTCTGCATTTAATGACTCTCTTTTACTTGCCAAATTTTTAAAAAAGTCATGTGAATTACTATTATTTACAACTGTCACAGACAATGGATAATTTCCTCCCATGAATGAAACAGGAACTTTAGAGAGTTGTCCCAAAAATACATTTAAAACATTACAAACACTGTTGAACATGTTTTCTTTCTTTGCACCCTGCATATTTCCTTGTCCATTTAATGTATCGTTCATCGAATACATTTTTTCCATTGTTGTATTTGCGGGTAAGCTCTGCATAGAACACATGCTTAACACAACAAAGCAAAGTCACTGCAAAAGAAAACATTGAATTTAAAAAACTAACTTAAATTTTTGAATTTGATTAATTTGAAATTGATTATACGTACATTATTCAACAAGCTGGTATTCCTCCGTAACTTCTTTCAATTCTCATAAATCTTTCTTCGGCTGCAAAGTCAAATTTCGCATTTTTAAACTAATTAGTAATACCTACAAGCTATTAATTTATTAACAAATATATTTGAATTCAATTACAGAGTAAAAAAAAATTAAGAATTCCGGAATCACCAAATATTCTTTAAAATTTTACAAAAAAACATCCCATAATCATGACCTTTAAATTTATCTTACACATTGAATTTCAATGAAAAAAAATTTCGTACTTTCTTTAATAATTTTATAATTTCAGTATAAAGTTAATTAATTTACATTAAGTATTAAGTCATTAATTTACAAAAAGTGTTATTTTCATTTCAAGTTTCATTCTTGAATTTTCAAAGACACGTTCGAAATCAATATAACGTTTGCAGTCACGATGCATCGGACATCTTGAATTTTTCACGTGCATACCAGGTTAAGATTGAAAATTGATAAATAATGACACATCGAAATTCAAATTGTTATTCAGGCGTATGATTATGGCAGAATCACTATAATTTTTAAACTCGATGAAGTAATTTTATGAGATATTTTGTTTTTTTTTACCAATACGTACAACAAAGATAGCCTCTATAACTGGAATCACAATCACGTAGGATGTTTTTCTCGCAATATAACAACTGATTCTTTTGTGTACCACACTTTTTATGCTTTAACAATGGTGTTTCAATAGACTTTATTACTTCAGATACAATATTCCGTTTCGACAATTTTTCAACAATTCCAATAGATTCCATTGTAAAATGACGTATTATTGAAGCACACATCTTGACAAGAACTTTTAAGCGGCCATTTTCAACTACTAAGTGTAAATGCGTTGTACGGATCATTTATAACGGTTGTAACGTTTTCTTGTAGAGGCGCTGTTGTCACGATTCACATCAAGGCTACCAATTCACGGGAAATAAACATTTACTATCAGTAAATACAATTCTGCGAGATATGTTTTTTATAACACTTGATAATCAAAAATAATATATCCTATTTATGTTTTATTTATAATCGATCATAGTTAGTCAAACCGTATTGTATAAACAAACTTTTAAAACAAGTATATATACATCATGTTAAGGGGGTATTCTGGTAATCCGGAATGATACCTTTTGGTATGCAGTTTTCGCACACGGATTTATTCATACTTAAAGAGTGTTTACAATTTTTTTTAACGAAATTAATGAATATTGTGAAAATTATATAGGCCTTAAATAAGGCACGTTTTTAACCCTTCGACTATTGAACCTCATATTCCACTAATACATATTTAGGGTTGTCCAGGCGGCTCACCGATAGTGTAGAGTGACGATCGCTCGAGGTCCTCACCGATATTGTACCAACACAGTGACAGATACCCGATTCATATAGGAACATATATATTATTATACATTTGATAGACTGATTCATCCTGTTTTTTCATACTAATGAAGCATCTGGCATTTCCCAGAAAGTTACAGCCTATTACGTATCTGACGCAAACTACGAAATAAATGTGTTCATCTTGTGCAAACAGTTATGATATAATATTCTGAAAATATTAGTTTTTATTGGAAACACTTTGGATACTTATTTCTAACGACAATAGAATGTATTTCTCATAAGAATAATAAATTTATGATTGTAATTTATTTTACATTAAATGCACATGTAAAAATAATATAGGATGTACACAATTTACTATCATGAAAAGCTATTTATAAGTACTGCAAACCAATACCAAATTGAAATTGTTGCAATACGTCGTTCCTGACAAATAATAAAGGCATAACTAAGTTTAATTCTACTCTTGCTATATTTCCAAATTTCATTGCAATACCTCCGCCAACCGCACAGCGAACATCTTCTTTAAAAATTTTCATATTTTCTTTATAATCGTTCGCTGCAAATAATAAAAAATTATTTATTTCTGTATATTTCATAAATAATTAAGAAAATTAAGTTACAAAAAATATCTAAAAAATGTCGCACCAAATTTGAAAGTAAAATTCGACACATTTCCACCATTGATAAAACCATGCAACTTGAACAAATCACCGAAACTATGGCGACCGGGCCTGAATGGCAGTGGTGTGTATAAATGAAGCGCAAGTGCCCAATATGCATTGCCGCCAAGGGAATTTCCATCGAGACGAGGTCCACAACCTCTCATATCGAATCCTCTAAGATTCAATGGTCCACCCAAGAAAAACTGATCTGCAATATTTATTTTCATGTCGTTGCTAATTCCTCGAAGCAATCCGGATTGAAAACCCATCTGGAAGGTCTAATGAAATTTCTATAATCAGACAAATTGCATAGAAGATAAATTTAAAAAAGCTTAATATTTCGAGTTGAAAAAAATACTTGCTGCGTATTCATGAGGTGTCCAATTAGTTTGCACGATAAGTTCATTTTTAACAAACCCAATATCTCCGCCTAGACCAGCCACTTCTGTCGAAAATTGTATGAGACTTCCAGTAGTAGGAAATATTAAAGAATCTCTTTTATCGATGGAACAAATATGCCGTAGCGCAGATTTCAAATTTGGACCGCATTGTTCCCGAACGCGAAACGACATTTGCTTAGAAGAAATAATTTCCCTATACGTGGCTTCATACTGTAAATTATGCTTTAATATACCAGTTCCATCTGGATTAAAGGCAAGATCTATTAAAAGACCTTTGTCGCATTGACTAAAACCAGACCATGGAAACCTATTTGATGTATTGAACACGCTACCAGTTAATCTATAAAAAAAATTAAATTGTATATTAATAGTAGGTAATTCATGATATTAATTTTTAAAATGGGATATTCATATACATTTTATGACGCGAACTACCCATAAATGGTTTAACAACAGATATGCTTATATTAGTTGAACTTTTTGAACCGTAAGAATATTCCATCTGAAGACGTTCTCCTCTTCCAAATAAATTTGGTGCTTTCGCTTGAACAATAACTGAACCTTCATTATTTCCAACCATGGTGCTAATTCCACCTGTTAGGCGTCTCATTTCATTTACCATAAAGGTAACCTAAAAATGAATATAGCTTAAAATCTCTCATATAAATATATGCTGATTTTTAAATAGAAGATTCATAAATGAACTGAAAAGAATTAAATCTGAGAAATTACTTATTTTTGTTGAATTAGTGTGTAATTATATAGACCCACTTCAACACCTTCTGGGGTAGCATGAGGACCATGACTGGTATCAATGTAAATTCCAATATTTCCGAAACATCCTAAACCTTGCAATTTTTCTCTAACTTTATAGGCATGTATAATAATATCATAAAAATCTTGAGCTTTAAACAGTTCTGTTACTTGGGCTTTTATTATGTCATCTTTTGTTCTTATGAGGCCATCTACATGTATTCTATCAACTCTTGCCTAGTTCATAAAACTTAAATTAGTAATTTATATAAATAATTGTATTGTGTTGTTTCGTATTTGTATTAGTTATTAGTAAATATACCTTCAAATGAAGATCAACGGCTTGTCCTTTTTTTCTTTCTAGTAAATTCATCTTCTCATGAAAATGTAAGGACTGGAGAAGATTGTTAAATTATTTTCTACTTCCAAAATCATAAAAATATTTAAAGCAAGATGAATCAAAATACTTATGTGTTACTTACAGGATTATCCTCTTTAAAATTTTCTTTTTCGTTACTTGAAGATCTGTTTATATTTCTGGACATATTTGATTCCTGAAATGTAAACAACACACAAAATGTTAACAAAAAGTATTCTATTAAATATATTTTGAAAAAATGTATTAAATGTACGATGACAATTTATACAATAAAATAAAAAATATTCAAACTTAATAGAATATCTAACACAATTGTTAAATTCACAATAACGATGGTAAAAATTATTATTAGAAATTACTCATGATTAAAACGAATGGTTTTAATTTTAGGTTATACTGTAATTTTCTAATAATAAGCGTGTACCTTTGCATGAACAGTCCCCATTTTTCTTAGAAATGAATTGTCGTTATTTAGCTAAAGATTCACATTAAAATAATATATTAAATATAATAAATTTGTCAGGTCTTCTTTAATATTTAGTAAAAAATAAATGTAAATTTTTTAAATCAAATATTTGGAATGACTAGGAATAAGACAATGTGATTTTCTCAATAATGATTCTATGATATCGCCCTCTGCAATGCAGCACTTTCGATATTCCGATAATACAGAATTAATTGTGAATTTGTGAAATTGAAAATTGTTTATTTACTTTAATAAAAATTTGCATTTTATATCATTTTACAACCCTTTATTTAAATAAAAATTACATATGTTTATATAAATATTATTTATTTATATTTAAAATAAAAATATGGCAGCTGAATAATATCAAAATGTAATGTACTACATTGTATTTCAATTTTGGTCAAAATGTATGCAATTGTATATTTTAATATTACAGAGCTTATGAAAGTTATGGAAAAATTCTGTGATTAATTTATGTATAATAGAGGTAGATCTTCACTGTATTATTCGTTGTTGTTTAGCAATAATTAATTAATTGCTAAGTCAGATCTATTTCTTATAGGAACTTTATAATAAAGAGAAAGATTAATCAATTACATTTATAGAATTAAGCCCTTAAATAATACAATAACAATGTATTTATGAAAAACACAATAACAACTGAATATATTACTTATATTACAATAAGTATTCTTTTTAATTAAATACATAATTTGTCATAGAAGATAATGTAATATATACATATTACGTATCTTTCAATTATAAATCTTCCTTTTCATCTGTTAGGAACAATAATGCAAGATTCATTCCTTTTTTAATTTAGAAATTTTTTTTAACAGAAATATAGAATATTAAAATTTGCTATAATGCAATAATAACTTCCTCTTTTTTAAATAATGAAAATATATAACTGCTATCAATATCAATACCAATGTTAATATCAATATTCAACATATATATAAATTATTCTTTCTTATTTTCTGTTGTTACTGATGTTGATATACTTTTCAAATATTTTTATCAACATCAAATTAATCAGATTAATAAAGCAATATATATAAATGTGACTAGCATCACAGTTATAATTTTCTACTGATTTGGTTTGTATAATAATGATCATAGTGCAGCAGGACCAACTCGTGAATGTGTATTAGCCGGCGATATAGGACTTCCATGAATTTCTAAATCAAATTCAGAATTAGATAAACTACTTCTCATGACCCTGTTCCATCGATTCGTGCTTTCATTTAATGTAATGATATGTTGATTTGTGTCTCCGTCATCAGCGGATCTCTCAGAAGCACGAAGCGCCTCTTGTTGAATAATTATTTCATTAGTTATATATGCCTCGCGCCGTATTTTATCTCTTAACTTTGGATGCATATCAGGGATACACCATCGCACGAGTATCATGACCAGAGCAACAATATTCTGGAAAACATAGATTTTGTTATAATTGTTATAGTTGATTTTCAGATTTAACATTACATTAATGTTATGACAGTACCTCAAATACAACAATAAAAGCTAGTCTTGCTGCAAGTACATGCCAAAACATAATTGTATATTGATATTTGTTTGGTGAATCAGGAGATTCTCTGTAATCTGGATATCTACATATTTCAACTTGTTTGTGAGGAGGTAAATATGGTTGAGTCCCGTTTTGTAAGTCACTTGTATTAAATTTGGAAAGAGAATGATCTAGAAATCCTTCCAGAGAATAATTATCAGAGACAGTTATTCGATAAACTAATCTTGGTATAAAATTTGAAGTAAAAGCTATAATGAATGCCTAAAAATATTCAATTATCAATATATCAAAAGTTATATTGCTTATGTAAAATATTTTTACTTACATTGGTTATAACAGATAACTTAGAAATGGAATCAAGAATGCGATACCATATGCCTATATCTATAACACGTTGTCCAACTGGTCTTCTGTACATTACTAATAATTTTTTGGCATCTAATCGCATTTCAAAAATATTATTCAACAATGCAAAAAAAGGTGCTAATGGAAATGCAGCAACAAAAATAGTAACAAATCCATATTGTAATACTGCAATATTTAAAACATTAAGATTTAAACGGCTAATACAAATACATGTAGATAATTTTAACAAATCTAATACCGCTACCCATTTCTAAATATTCGGGAAATAAACTTCTTGGACCCCATTCTACCAATTTATAATCTTTGATCCACTGGAGATACTTCCGAGTAGTAACCTTTTTATGTCCATCTTCTGTTTTCATCCCAACATGTACTTTTAAAGTATTTAACCATTTATAAAATAGTGGAAACAACATTTCTAATATTGTATTCATAGTTTGTTTGCCAACCATGATAATGCTTAACTGTATGCATAATTCCATAAGACAACCACCGGGGCCACATTCTTCTTGCCGGTATTGGAAAAAGCGATTATAATTGCCCGGATATCCAACAAATTTTCCTTTAAAAAATGCTATATAAAAAATGGAAGCATAGTAGTTAACAAATTCGAGTAAATATATTTTTAGCGTCAAACTATCATCAAATTCAGTTTGAGTTCGAAGCAGTTCAATCTATAAAAATGAAAAGGAAAAATATATTTTTAAAAACAAGAAAAATATATACAGTTGTCATAATATATAAGTACCTCGGTTAAATATTCAGCTAGCCAAACATAAACCCAGTTAAATATTATGATACAACATAAATTAATACTAGCTGCAGTAGCTGTTGTAAATAGTATTGCATAACTTGTTACCATAGGGTGTCCATAAACACTTAAGGCAGTTAAAACAGACATTCTATATAGAACAACAGCTAACACTGCTGCCATTGCTATTGCAATCTGTAATTTAAAGTAAATAAAACACAAATTTTACGATTATTTTATATCGTAATTATTCAATTCATTTTTTTCTATATTATACAAACCAGCAACAAAACAACGGAAAAGCTGAGAATTGTAGCTGGGACTCTCATTTTCCAAAAAGGAACTTTCGGTTCTTCCGTATTTGTAATAATATTAAGCGATTTCTTTTTTATGTGTGCCAAACGTGCTAAGTACTGAGGACGAGGGTGTTCCTCTTGAGCATCTAAACCAGTTAAGTCCCATCTATGAGTTATTTCTGCTGAATATCGCTTCCATAATTCCAAAAACAATGTAGCTAATAAAATGTAGTAAAAATGATAATGAAATTTATATCGTATAGATGCAGAGATATTAAAAATATTATTACATACCCCATAATGACATAAATATAGAAAAAAATACAGTAGATGGGTTATCAAACAAATATGTAATTCTTGCGTGTAAGCATGTTTCTTTTAAATCCCAGTATCCACAAATATGATCACATAGGGGACACATTTCAATGGTACCGTTACCATTGCAGATATCTTCGCTTGGTTCGTTAGAATACAAAGTTGCGCAACTGTATATAAAACATAAAAGACCTACAATACTAGCAGGTATTAGCATATGTGTATAAAATCCGAGCCAAGCAAAGTAAAGTCCAATTTTTACTCCAAAATATTCTTTGATATAGTCTAATGGTTGGTAATGAAGACATTTTTTTAAACTTGCCCATTCTTTGTATAAAAGATATCTCATGGAATCTGGTGCGTGTAGATCTCCCTAAAAATAGAAAAAAATTATATTAATTAAAATATTAATGCTCTACATGAATGTTTGTACCTAAATTCGTTTAATTATAAAAATTTTTAGATGTACATTTATATAATTATAATTTTAGATGTAATTTTACATATTATTATTAGATGTACATTTTATTATAAGCATAATAAAAAGTATAGGCAAGAGTATAGTAATATACTAATAGGTAGGGAATACTTAATAGGTATAAAAGGTATTGATCATTTATATTAAGACAGTCACTTTATAACCAAGATAAATTCAACCTTCCCAATAAATTAAGTTCTTAAGTAAAGTAAATTAATATCTTAAGTAAATTAAAATGACCAAATTGTGTTCATGCCTAAGGACCTATTCTTAACAATTGTATAGTGTTTATCTAAATAAGCATGTAAAACTAATGAAATACGCAAATCTAACCGCTTTATATTCAACATACGCAAATCTACCGCTTTATATTTAACATAAAATTACATACATATAATAATTATATTTGGAAGTCAATGAATTATCGAAGTTCTTCTTTCGAAAATTTTTTTGTTTAGTAAATGTGAACAAAGATACGAAAAAAATAAAATGTAATAAAAAAAACAATAATGTTTGTTGACATTGCTTTTTAACTCTAATAAGTAGAAAAAGAATATAAATATACCTATAACTTAGAAAAATTTAAAATTAAAAAAATACGATGAAAAAAACAAAAAGATGTAGCTTACATCGTGAAGAGGATATGCTGCTACGTATGCTTTTTCCGAAATCAATCTTTCTATTCCAAATGCAAAATCGTCATCCTTGGTTTCAGTAAATCTGGTTCTATCTAAAATGAACTGTATGATTCTAGCACGCGTTGCAGCGGTAAAAAAATTTGGCGAATCCAAATTGAATAAATATTCTTTATCACGGCTATAAACAGCCGTAAAATTATGTTTCATAGTTGGAAATATTGTTTGGTCTACATAATAGTTTTTCATAATTCTTTTAAATAACGAATTGACTTCTTTAATTAATGCAATACTACTATTTTCAGGAATTATCATATTAGGTAATTCCTTCATTGGCAATCTAAGTTTTAATATTTCAGCATACCGTCTTAATACTTCTCGAGGTGCATGAATTTTTATGAAATGTAGACCATTTGGTTCTGCTTGTTCATATTCCAATTGTAAACTTTCCTTCTCCAAATTTTTTTCAAATACCTAGAAATTATAAATATTAAACAAAAAGTAGTATTCCTTTACTGTATAGTTACTTACACGTCTATGTTCTGTACAACGATATGTTTGAGCTTCCACATTGTATTCATCCCAAACAAGTACAAAATCAATTGTACGAATTTCATCACGAAAATATAAACTAAAAGCTGTTCCACATTTTGAGATCTATAAAGAAAACAGATATTATATAATTAACAGTTTTGTTATTAAATTACATATATACATATATATAGTTACAAACTTACAGATTTTGAACTTCTTCTGCTATTTCTCAGATCTGTACAACTACCATTAATTGTTACCTCATTATTAAGAACTGATAAATCATCATTAAATGATTGTTGAATATCTTCCAAGGAGATTGCACTATGCATACTATCCAAAGTAGTCATACTTCCAGCATTATTCAACGATGAGATATTACGAACACTTTGATACAAAGTTTGCACAGATCCTGCATTTAAATTACTTGGTATTGATCGATAAAGACTTATTTCAGACGTATCATTCCTACTCTTCTGTATCCATGGTACAGAAATTTCTTCATCCTCTTCCATTTTTAATTGAATTGATCAGTATTCAAATTCTATTTATTTCAATCTAACAATGTATACTACATGCAAGCCAAATAAAGAAAATTTATATATTCATAAAAAAATACTACAACGTGTACATTATAAATATATTTTATTCAATTCAATATTATAATTTTGTAATCAACTGAAGAGTGAAATACATGTTACGAAATATGACATGAATAAAACATGAATTACTATTAACATAGGCAATTAAAATAGATAAAAATTTAAAATAATTATTTGCAAATAAATATTGTTTATAATTATATTATCTATAAATGACTATATGTATTATATCAGAACAAAAGACGATAAATTACTAATTTCATAAAATATCTAGCTGTAATACGTTTTCTAATTTTTTTTATATAAAAAGCACTAACTGAAATACAGAGTATCCTTACATTCTCATCTTTCCATTAGAAATCTTTCACTCCGGATGCTGTGCAGATATGGTACAGGAAATTGTCACATAACTGCGTGGATACACATGTACACATATTTTTAACACGTATTTTAACCTTTGATTTGACTACTACACACATTTGTTATAACTAGTTAATTTATTTACATTTATCTACAATTGTACAAAAACGATGGAATTGATACGTTGAGTTCATCATCTGAGTAAATACAGAATAATGCACGTATTCATGAATCATATCAATATATGTATAGGTAAGCACTGTTCGTAATATGTTAATAATGATCACGTGATTAACGTGATCCATTCATGTAAATTAACACATATTATTTATTTCTACCAGTTTAATTATAAATTCTTATATTAAATAAATAATTAGACATCAATTTTCTAATATTTAGTGATACATTTACATAAGGAAAATACTATCACTATCGATAAAAATATTTTCTTATAATTACAAGGATTGGAAAGTTACAATTAACACAAATGTTTTTAATATTTTATTTAACTTTTCATTGTAAATACAAATATTTTTTCTTCTTAAATAGTAATAGTACAAAATTATTCTTTGGTTTCCTATAACAAAGTAAATAATATATAAAAATTTTCCATTTGACTTATATCATTTAATATTATTCCTGTTAATCATTAAAATTAAGATTGACATATTATGTTACAAAACTAATTATATCTTACATATATCTTTTAATAGTACATGAATTTATATAAATGTATACTTTATATTATCTACATACTACATAAAATTTGATTTTATTATATATATCCATTATAATAAAGATCATACTTCTTGCATGACTAAAGAATTAAGTTCGTCTTCTCCTGGACATAATATTGAATCAATATTGTAGAATGCTGCATGTAAAGTTATTAGAAACCAAGATACACCTGAAATAAAATTTGTACATAAATAATTTTGCACAGATTTTATGTAATTTTGGTCTAAATAAAAGAATATTTGTTTTATTTACCAAGAACCCAGAAAAGAGCTGCGCCGGCACCAACTAAATAAAAAATTGGCAGTGAACAGATTCCTACCAAAGAATAAACTTGAGCTAGAGTTAATTTATAATTCAATATCGTAAGTTCTTGTTTAGCATGACGTTGTGAAACCTTGTAACAAGCTCCAAGTGATGCAGCAACAGCAAACAATAACAATGGTGATGTAATCCTAAAATTGAACAATTATTTTGTTATTTAAGGTAAGAAGATATTCTCTATAAGTGGAAGAATAAATACACTTGTAATAAAACTTACAAGCAATATATAACTAATCCAACAAACAGGAACAAATAATTGCTCTGGAAATACTCAATATTTCTTACAATTCTTTTACTCAATCTTGGTAAACTGGGAGGAGGTCTTATGTTGCTTGTATTGAGAAATAAAGACCATGGCCTGATATTAGCTTTTCTGTGTTTGATCCATTCGTGAGCTTGGGGATATCCTATGTTAGTGAGTGGAAATTGTGGTATTTGCAGAAATTCAAGCCTAAAAAACAAAATGTATACGTGATTATTAATTATCAACGTAAAAACGGTGATTAAGAATTTTAAGACTTCTATTTTTTTTTAAATGTTCGCAAAAAATAATTGCAAAATTAGTTCTTGGAAATATAATTACAAGGAAAGTATGTATTACTCAAAAATATGGTAACTTTAATTAACCAACGATTATCAACAAGATGTCAATGTCATTATCGGTAAAATTTCTTTGTAGGTTATAGACAACAAATGTTCAATGTTCTATTGTCGATCATTATGTCCACTTATCGTGCACTCGATGATTACCCAGTGCTAGATTTTTCCTTTTGTTGTTGAGGTATTTGCATGTCACCTCCAACCTCAATTTCCACGTCTGCCATTTTCAGTGTGTCAATAATCAAAACTTTCAAAAATGGGGACGTGTGATAAAGACACGACTAACAGATCACGAGTACTTTATTCTCTCTCTCTACTCGACTGTTTCGTGTAGTGTCATCCCCACCGCAATGGCGTTTGCACTCTCGTTTTAGAAAAAACCCGTCGAACGCAGTAAAACTCCCATCATATCGCACATCGAACTACTATGTTACCCCTACCACCGACACTACTACACGTTCAACCAGCGTTCGCTCATACAAATGCTACAGGTTGCAGCTGCTCGATAAAAATTCTTTCACTGCCTTTGTGAAGCTTCTTTCACGGAAAGAGCTCACTGTCTGAAGTAGAGGACGTGAAACATTTTCCATTTTTTTACGTGAGTTTTCAACGTTTTCATTTAACAAACATAAAAATTAATGGCCATACATGCCACTGCATGCTCACTTTTTATTAAATTCTACTTTTAAAACTTTAACATTTCGTTTTTGCATCTTCCTGCTCTGGGAAATCGGATTATACAGCATTTTGTCTAGATTTCCTGAAATTTATGAAACTTTATGAAGAGTGATCGAAAATATAAAGGTGATCACGTTTATTTAAACTAACACTAACACTAACACCAAACGATCAAATTCCTTCGTGATTAGTTAAAATCTTCTACGATATTTCAACTAAACCAAGGGGATCTATGGAAAATCAAAGGTTCAAAAATATACAAAATATGCAAAAACATATAAAATAATTGAAATAAAATACTCGTAACGTTTTGTGACTGAAATGTATCAAAATCCATTTCCTTTTTCATTTATAAAAAAACATAAATTTATATAAAAGAATTCGTAATTTACACGTTGTTGAATCGTGTACATAAATAATTTGTACGATCGTAGCATGAGATTTTGTTTGTTACAGAAGCATGAGATTTTTAAATGCCATATATTGTCCATCGGTACAAAGCTGAAAATTTGTTTTCATTCATTGTTCAACAAATGATTGTCAGCTGTTTTAAACATCGTTCGATCTCGTCGAAAGCTCAAAGAACAGATTATGACAAAGGTTTTTTTAGAATTTTCACTAAAGAATGATTTCACCGTCGAAAATATGTGCAGATGACGCTACTATATACTACCATTTGGAGTAGCGAGAACCAATAGAAGAACGCATTTTATTGAATTCAACACACCGGTCCTCAAAGAGATCCCTGATTGGTCAGCTTTAATTTTCCAAACAGGGCCACCCGCCATAACGAACGTAGCGTGGTACGTGCGTGGTTTGAATTAACATCTCCAAAGCGTAATTAACAAGGTTTACAAATCAGTGATTATTTTATTTCAGTTTGATATTGTTGATACATACGGGATTGATTGCATGCGAAGAAACTTATGGTGACAATTTGAAAAAGATGGAGGTTGCACAAAAGTTGCATTCCGGAGCATGCGATATACAGGATGAGGAACTAAATATCAGCTGTCATACGAACAGCTCTGGCTGTGATGTCGAAGATATATTGGACTCATCTACGGAAGATCTTGGATGTTCGCCCCCGCTTCAACCGAGAAAATTATTTAGTAATACGATGAATTGTAGTGACAATGAAAGTAAGTAATCAATCCGTTTTAATTGATATGTTCGGCAGTTGAATCGGAGATTCGTCAGTGAGGTTACCCAACACACTCGTATTTTAAATATATACATTGCGAGGAAAGATTTTCAAATAACTACTTCTAAAAGTTGTGTTTTTGGTGTATTGGTATATTTGGTGTGTTTTGATATATTTCTTCAGTGACAAGTGTGAGAAATGTGTTCTATCACCTTTGTCTCTTTATAATTTCATAATACAATATAATGATATTCCTTTTGTTAATTTTGAAGAATTGATCAAAATTTTGCATTGAAAAAAAGAACGAAAATGTCGAAGTTAAACGTTTGTTAATAGTCACGTATAAAATCTCATTTGCTTTAAAAATAAACAACGAGTTCTTAAAATTAAATTTGTTCTGACCATTTAATGTTAATAAATCAGTTAAACAAAGATGATCAAACTGGTGACCCCCTATTGAGCGGCAAATTAGAATGACTGAGAAGAAGTTTCCAAATCTTAGCAACCCAAAATCGATTGACTAAAAATATTATCTAAACGGAAATTGATGTAAATAATAATCGATATACAAGATACAGAATAGCAACACATATAATATATTTACTTTCATTTTGGAAGGACAATTAAAATCTTTGATTTTGGGTATTAATAACATCAATGTCTAGATAGATAGTAAAGAGACAACTTCAAGTATAATAACTAGTAACTGGATTGTAATACTATACTATACTATGCTCTTTTATTAGCGATTCTTGCACTAAGATACGCATCGCGACAGTATCAAATGAAATGTACTCAAACATGAAATGTAGGATTGTGATATTTATTTAAATGAAATTGTTAATAAATAGAAGTGTTAAAAATGCATAATAATGTGACGCTTTGATTACGAGGTAACGGCGTCTCTCCATTTTTTCTGCACATGCGCATTGCTTTACCCACTAGCGACGCGCTCGGTTATAGTAAACAACTCGATCATGTTGCTTCTTCCCTTTTTTTCTTACTTGCTAAATTTATATTATCCGAAAACACAATAGCAATAAAATTTTGATTAGTAACGTGACAGGTTAGTGTAATTACACTGTTCCAATGTTTTCGTATATTTACGAAATGTTTTTGTTTGATATTCTGACTGCAACATATTTAAAGGTATTTCACTTATTGTTCTATATATTTCTTTCCCAAATAACTTTAGGAATATATATTTCCTGCATGGTGTTGTATTTTCTCAAATTTAATTTGTATATTTTTTCTCTCTTTTTTTGTTTTTGTGTTTTATTTTAAAAAGAAATAAATTTAAATTTGTTTGTTTGTCTCATTGTGTTATTGTATATACATTATCTGTTTGTTTCACGCTTATCAAACACGATTTTTAGAGCCCTCTTTTTATTTTTAATTATTTCTTCTTGTGAAAATAGTGTGAATTTTTTAATGATATGACAATGTTTTCATGCATGATGTAGAAAAGTTGATATTTTCATTGGACAATCGTTTTGCATCATGCAAATTTGTTTATAATTTAAAAAGATCTAGAAGTAATCAGTAGATACAATATTTCTGTGTACTGCTGTTACCTCAGATGTGTATATTGTATAAAAATATGTATGATGTTGAAACAAATGATATTAACAAGTAATAAAGTCTACAACATTTCTCTCTCTATTTTTATACATTCTTTTTGCTATTACAAATAAATATTTGACTCATGTATGTATATTTAAGAAAAATATATAATATACAACATTTCCTTCTAGAAAATAAATAAGATTTCCTTGTTTTATTTTTGTATAAAAATGTAATTGTAGATATATTGTGTGTATATTGTCTTTTATTAATGTTGTTAATTCCGTATTATATTAATTCTGAACTCTGTTTGAAACAAAAGATTATTTTTGTTAAAAATTAATATCAAAAAAATTTTTTAAAGAAATAAAAGAATATAGAAATTATGTAATTTATACTTAAAATATGAATAACATGAGAAGCATGAAAGAAATAATTATCATGTAAATATATGTCAATTACAAAATAATCAATACAACACTGTTGTACATAAATTATAAAATAGTCAACACAACACTGCTGTAGATTACTTATAAAGTAATCATCACAACACTGCTGTACATTACTTATAAAGTAATCAACACAATATTGCTTTTGTTTTTTTTAATTTTGGTGCATGAGGAAATTAGATTCTCAAAAACCAATAAATATGATTTACAGGTGCATCAAGAATTAGAATCCCTGCTCGTGAAAATATGTGTTCTCAAAAAATGTCAATGGCATGTAGCCCACCTTACAAACGAGTTAGAGCATTACGTCTTTTTGATTCTCCCGCTACTCCAAAAACGTTAATTGAAAAGAGTGCAATGCATACTCCGTTTCCGACTAAATGTTCTAGATTATTTTCGCTAGACAAATCTAGAACTTGTAATTATCAAAATAAATCTGACAAACCTGCTGCCAATGTAAATCCTTTTATGCCAAATGGAGTAACGTTAACTGCAAGAAAACGTACTAGATCTAAGCGCAGTCTGAATGGGTAAGTATTTGGTGTGATATAAGAAATTTGATACATTATTAATGTGATTAAGAAATATGATATATTATTAATTCAAAATAAAATACTGCTTATTAAATATTACTTCTTTTCTTTTGACATTAGTTCTCCAGATATCCAAATTCCAAAATTTGATCTTGGCGATTCTGAAGAAGATTCTGACAACGAAATAGAACAAGCTACAAAACGTGTGGCATTGCAAGATTCTAATATCTCACGATATCATCAAGAGTTCCATGAACTTGGTTTAATTGGAACGGGTGAATTTGGCTCCGTTTATAAATGCATTAACCGGTTAGACGGATGCACTTATGCTGTTAAGAAAAGTATTAAACCTGTGGCTGGAAGTATTAATGAAAAGAATGCCTTAAATGAAGTGTATGCGCATGCTGTACTTGGTAAACATCAACACGTGGTGAGATATTATTCTGCATGGGCAGAGGATAATCATATGATAATTCAGAATGAATATTGTAATGGTGGTAGTTTGGCTGACACGATTCTCAATTTAGAAAAAGAAAAAAAACATTTTACTGAAATAGAAATACGACAATTATTGTTACATGTTGCTGAAGGTTTAAGATATATTCACAGTATGCAATTAGTACATATGGATATTAAACCCGGAAATATCTTCATTTCCAAAGAAAAAAGGTTACTTGCAGTTAATTACGATTCAGCCGATGATGGTTTCGACGAAGAGGAGACTATAGAAGAGGAAATTACTTACAAAATAGGAGATTTAGGTCATGTTACATCAGTTAATAACCCTCAAGTTGAAGAAGGAGATTGTAGATATCTTCCAACGGAGATTCTGCGCGAGGACTTTTCTCATTTACCAAAAGCTGATATTTTTGCTTTTGGATTAACTATTTATGAAGCCGGTGGTGGAGGCCCATTACCTAAAAACGGATCAGAATGGCATGACATTAGAAATGGAAAATTAAAGGAATTACCACATTACAGTCGTGATCTTAACGAATTACTTAAAGTAAATAAATTCAATATTAATCTTTTTTTATTTTAATTTAGATTAGAATACAAAATTTAATGCAATCTTTTCTGTAGTTAATGATTCATCCAAATCCTGAAATGAGACCATCAGCAGTATGTCTTATACAACATAGAGTACTGTGTCCATTTGGGAATAAAACAAAAGCACAACTTCGACGAGAACTGAATGCAGAGAAATTAAAAAATGAAATTCTATCGAAACAACTGCAAGAAGCTGCTAAATGTTTAAAAACTATTGCTCCAAACGTAGCAGCAATCAATAATACAATGAATGCAGGAGGCTATGAATTAAGACCTACACCAACTAGAACATTGTCTCGAGCAGTGGGTAAAAAAGTCAACAGAAGCAATAGTACTACAAATTTTTAAATATTCTGTGTTATATTTGTGTCAGACTAAAGTAGAGGGGTAAAGGTGCTTCATGGAAAAAATTTTTTTCTAAGTGCCTTGACATTGTGATATGAATTAACTGTAGTATATAAATAAAACTATGATCAATATTTGATAGTAAGAAGAATATGATAAGTATACAGAGTGAAATTGTACGATAGCTACGGGTATACTCTTGCAGTGATGAAAGTATTACACAAATAAAATAAGTTGCGAATTTTATACATTAAAATTATAAACACTAATTATAACTTCTAAAAATCTAATTCGTATTTTACATTTCATAATTTCAAATTTTTAGATGGGTAATACAGTAATGTAATATCATTTACACATATTGTTTGGCCTTTTTTCTTTTTTTTATAAACATAAATATATATATATATATACATACATACATATATAAGATATAAATTAGATACATAAAGTTTGAAAAATATAATAATTATTGCTACTGATCATTAGTCTATTTATCTTACAAGCATAGAAAATGTAACAAAATCTACTTCTCTATAAAGAATGAAAAATAATTCTATTAAATATTTCCATATGTGTCCTTAATGTTCTTGTTAACAAGTTTTTATTTACCTATACAATTACAATATATTCTTTTTTTTACAACATTACTATTTTTGTAGTTTAATCAAGCAGTATTTAAAAAAAAGAGTAATATTGACAAAAATGAAATGAAAATGTTTTTAATATCAGTTACTAATTAATGTTTTGACATATTGTGTTATACTTCCGTTTTTGTTCGAGATTGACTGGTAAATAATTGGAAGTACTAACAATAGACTGTGACAAATTGTTTATTACAAATATATTATATTTTTATATATAGATATTTACATATAATAACAGTTTAGTGTTGTGTATTGTTTAGTGTTTAGTCATTAATTAATCTCTGTATTATCCATCATTATAAAGATTCAAATAATTAATTTTTTTCTTTATTATAATTTTCATACTCGGATGAAAGACTGCTACTTAAATATATTATATTAAATAATTTTTATATTTTTGCACGACATACACTCAATATTTTTTAGGAAAATATATATATATGTGTGTGTGTGTGTGTGTGTCTTTTAAATTAATAATAAACAAACTGATATTACATATTGTTTGTACAGAAAGGATTTTTAGATAACTGGATAAGAGTTGATGACTGACATAAAACTTCATCTAAGCATAATTCCTAACCCTAAAACACAATTTCACTCTGTGTATTCTTTAAATAACTCTTAAAATTATAAACGATTAACGAATGAATCTTTGAACATAAAATGGTTTAAGTTTAAATTATTTTTGTAATATTTTTTTATAGTTATATTGTCTTTGGCATGCTCTAAAATTCGTACTATACAAGTTTCTTTTGAGTTTTTGATATATATACATATTGGATAAATATTGATGTATAATAATCCACATTTTTATTGTAGGTGGTATTACTGATTACATATTTCTTGTTCTATTTACTAATACACCAATTTACAAAAATTGTATTCATTTCATTATCAAATGTGCATTTAATTCAAAGTTTCTACAAATTGTTGGATAGGTTGACTAATGGACTTTTTTACTTCAATTTTTGATTTGTAATATGCTGTGTTTCTTGATCAGAAAGGACAAAAACTAATGTTTTATCACAGTATAGTGAATTCAAAGCTCTGTATTAGACAAATGCATTCAATGAATATTTTTGTTCCTGAAACTAACATCGAATAGATGTCTTATGTACAATTATTTGGCTTCTAGCTAATAAATCAAAGCCTTTGTACCTTGACTTAATATTTTCATGTTACTGAGCATGCTAATGTGATCTTTTCTATATCTGCGTTTCGATATTTAAAAAAAGAGGATATATATATAGCATGTGTATAATCCTTTGCATTACTGTTTACAAAACGGTCTGAATTATGGTTTTTAATATCATGAATATTTTTTGTTGTAGTTTGCGTTACAAACTACTTGCGCCTTTTATTTGCACTATAAATTCGATTAGAAATAAGATTTATTACAAAATTTTCTGTTATCCCATCGACATGTTGTAATGTGCGATCAAATATTAGTTTTTCTAAGTGTGTAACCTCGTTTACAAACCAATGTTATGTATGTAATCATAGATCGCGTTATGTATAAAAGTTACGAAGTTTTGTAAGAAAAAAATGTGAATAATTAATACAGAAGTTGCTTAAGTTTCAAACTGTGTGCCAGAGTGGGTGGACCCCGACTTATGGTGATGAGGTATTGTGGCTGTATATCACGTTTACTGTGAACTGTTGTTTCATTAATCTTATTATTATTATTATATTGTATTATTATTAATATTATTATTATAATAAATAATGAATGAATATCGCATTCAGTTATATTTATTAAAAATTATAATATTTCGCAAAGAATTACATTACAATACAATGTGTCTAAGCTAAATGGGATCACCTAAATATCTACCTTATTTATTGTTGCATGAAAAAACAATCTCAACAAAGTTGCACCATCTCAAAGGCCACATTTTTCTCTAAATCATTTTTGCGAATTTCAAAATCATCAGTAATTTTTTAAAATGAAACTGTAGATTTTCTTACAGAACACAAAAAAAAACCAATTCAGTTCATTCACTCAATGAAAGTAACTATTGTTGAAAGTAACTATAATTTACTAATTTATGTATACTTAACGGCGGAGCAAGTTACACATTCATTATCCAAACATAAATAATAGATGAAATTTCTGATCCAGTGAATGATTGGTTAGCTGTTCTTCAGTTTTTCTTCTATTCAAGTTATAAAGGTGTATTGAGTATTTAATTAAATCTGAATGTGTGTAATTGTAATTATTTTTGCGAAGTATCTCGAGATTTGAGATGAAATAGAGAGAAAAGAAATATGTGATTCCATTTAAAAAGTTATTAACGTTTGACCTTAATGTTTCATGAAAAATTAATTTTAAAAGAAGTTTATGCATATTCTTCCAAAGAACACTAATTTCTAATCTACATGAAATTTTGACAGAGTGGAGGGGACAGAGATAGCATTACAAGTATAAAATGTCAATTTCGGATTTTTATTAGTTAGCGAGATGTTAATAAAAAAAACTTTCTGTACAATATATTGAATTCTGCTTATACAGACATAACTAATATAATGGTCAAATCAGTTGTGTAGATAGACATCGTCGGTAAATGTTGGAAATTATTATTTATACAATTATTTATATATAATAATATCAGTTTAGTATCTATAGCATGTCTTATGTAAACTTGATTCATCGTGGATAAGGATTACCGGTAGCCAGGGAAATACATAATACAAATCTAAACACAACTCCTTTTTTAGCGAATAATGCGAAAAAATTAAAAAAGAAAAGTTGCCTGGGAATAAAATTTAATTATATTGATTTTAGATGAGACACCCTATAGACATCGAAGCTGATATCAGCTATGTAACACCCGGCAACTATACAACGAAAACAGTTGATATATGTAGGTAGAATTCAGTGTGTTATACTGAAAGTTTTTTTTTATTAATATTTCTAATAAAAATCTGAAATTAAAATTTTATATTTAAGATCCTTATTTCCTCTGCTCTATCAAGAACAGGTGCTTTTCGGAATTACATTCAAATTTATTTTCACCATTTGGTATAACTTTTGAAATAGTGCAATTTCATGACTGAAAAATTTTTCACGAATCACAATAAATAAAGTAGATATTTAAATGATCTCATTTAATTGAGACATTCTGTATTATTATATTATTCTAAGTACAATAATTTTAATAAATACTATTGATTTTTTCTTTCTCTAATTTACTATAAATGTAAGAAACTACCCTTTTAGTGGAACTGAATTATTCTACTGTCTTTGAAAATATGTTTTGTTGGCACTAAGTTCATTAATACTGCAACTAGCGTAAATTTGTTCTTAATTACGCATGCGTAAGAAAATGAAAACAGATTTTCTCATTGCATTTTGATACTATACTGGTATTTTAATACGATGCAGTAAGGGGTGTCGTATTGCTTGTTAAAAGTTAAGCATTAAGAATAATAAATATTTAAAATATTAACAATCAAATATTATACAAAACTGTTTGTTACTGATGTTTTTAAAGTATTATAGAAAAATGTTGATGGATCATAATGAATCGAAACTTCAAATTTATTTGTAAAATGGTCGTAATAATTTTTCGTTCTTTTGTGTACGATTTTTGAGTCAAGTGTATGATTTTGAATCAAACAACTGTCAACGCGATAACATGTAAATACATAAATTGTACAATCATATTTTATTACGAATTTAATAAGCACAAAATGTTATTATTTCATGCAGCCTAAAAATCATAAAAAATGTCAAAAAATGAATGTCAATCTTTATCATAATATGTCATTGAAAATCTGTTGTTAAAAGAAAGTATTGTTAAATTGCACCTTATAAATTTAAATACTGCTTTAACTTAAATGCATATTTATCTTTTCATTTACATTTAGATTCTATATTATAGTAATTAAAACATTTTGTACAGAAATATTTCATGGTAAAATATAGTGCAGAATAATTTATTATAAGTGAATGAATTTAGATATTACATTTAATAGATCTAACATGGTATTGTAGGTAATAAGGCTTGCTTCATTTAATTATAATATTTTAAGCATGTTTAAATAGGATGATAGTACATAGTATTTTGTCCAAATATGCACGCAAAATTTTTTAAGGAAGAGAGTGCATGAAACTTTCTCAAAGAAGATCCAGAAAAAATGCGACACTGGCTGAACTTGTTCATAGGCAGATGTACTCTAATTTTTGCAAAAATGGTTTGGATCCTCTTCATTATTATCTACACTTTTATCTCATTGTATAAATCACATTGCATTTCTTTTTATTATTAATATAATATATAATAAAGAAACTTTTGAAATAAACATATTAAAATGTTTAAATTGTTACAGACATATACAAAATTAAACAAAAATGCAAAAAGAATATTCACAATCAAATGTCCAACCAAAGAAAAGACAGAATGAACTTTTATACAGATATGGATATTTTCTATCAATGCTTTTATGTATGATTCTTGCTTCTATTAAACCACAATTTGGTAAAACAAATGGTATTAATTTATAAATAATTAATTTTGTAAATTATATATTTATTTCTTACAATTTTCCATTTGTAATAGGTGTTCTGAATGGTAATATTATTATTCGATATTTTGCTGTTCCTTTGACATACCTAGAAGCAGGTTTATTATGTAATCCAAAAACACTTTATTTAACATTATTTAATGGCTCTCTCTTAGTATTTACAATGGCTTTTATATATATTTTAATGCCTTTTCTGATGAGACTTGGAGTATGTTTGTTGACTTATGCCAATGTCAATGTATGGTTATTGAAAGGAATGGAAGTAAATAAATATTAAAATATTTTCTATAATTATAATATAGACATTTATAATAATCTAATCTTAATCTTTTTTGATTTTTAGGTACTTTACTGTATGCCACCTCCATTTAATACAAGTTTTGTTTTGTGTCGATTGGCACAAGCAGATTTATCAACAAGCATTGTAATTACTTTAGTATCTCATTTTGGAGGATTATTTATATCTCCCATATTATTATACTTTGTGGTATTTATTCATTATTGAAGCTTGAGTTGCTACATGTTTTTCATTTTATAAGAATTTTAATTCTTTTAGTTAGGCGCATCTACACCTCCTCTAGTTGGGGTAAATGTAAAAGAAACTATTTATAGTACAATTATACCATTAATTATTGGTGTTATGATTCAAATTGTTCTCTTGAAGTATGATATTTGTGCCAAAATTAAATCACCTTGGTTTTCTCAAGGACTATTATTAGCTACAGCATATCATTGGTTTTGTGATGCTGTATTGGTGGATGCATCATCTTTACAAGCTACTGATGTGCTATTATGCATATTAATTGGTAAGTTTATATCAAAATTTATATTTATATAACCAAGTGAACAATAATTATTGCAATAATATTTGTATAATATTAATGCATGTATGTAGACAATGTTTATGTGTGATGTATTATTAATTTGATTTAAGTGTAGAATATTGTATATTTTTTATTGTTTCGTTATGTTTAAGCTTGCGTGGGGCAACTATTTGTTAGCTGTTTGTGTTGGATTTTGTGCTCTCAGTGGTTACCTCGGAATATCTTGTTAGCTGCACTTTTTACAAGTACTCACAAGTCGGTTGGTCTTGGAAGCTGGGTTTTGCGTGGTGCTTACCATGGGTCAGCTCATGGTCCTGCAGTGAATTTACCATTGTCTGTATTACCAGTTGCACAATTACTATTAGGTAGTTTATTAGCTGGTTGGTTATCTCCATAATGTAAAATATATTGTGATTAATTTGAATAATTTCTTTTATGTTTCATTTTTAAAATTGCATGCATATACTATCTTTTCAAGTAAACTTTTTTTGAATATATGTATTTTGTGTGTATTTACAGAATAATGAAAAATTAAAAAATAGTTATATTATCTTTTTATAGTAAGTAATTAGATAAAAAATAAGGTAATTAGTTTACTTATTCATCATATTCATTATAGAAAAAAATGCCTTAATGAATAGTGTTTAAACGTGGAATTAAGGAATAAAAAGTCTTACATAGATTCAGGTTTCAAATTTTAATATGTAAAAAATCGTATGAAAATTATTTACATAATGTAATTTGAAAAAGTGAAGTGTTTAACAAAACATTGGGTAGGATTCGACTCAAAATTGTTTTCAAAATGTATCAAATAAGTTTATTCATATGTATAACGAAATGCCAAAGGCTTTGAAACATAGTCTATGATTCTTTTTTCTTTTTTTTTCTCTAAATTTCACGCAGTGTATACGAGTTTTACTTATTGCGGAATTTAATACTTACCTTGGAAACTAATCTTAAGAATTTGTATATAACAATTATATATTATTTTTTTCAGTATATATTGAAACAACTAGTGTAAAATTATGCACGAATAAGTTTTTTTCAATTCTAATCAACTTAGTTTCATTGACATTTGATAAAAGGAAATCATGACAATTATACATTACACTGTACATCATTACAGGAACAATTTTAAATAGTACATTAAGTGAAAGTAAAAAAGAAAAACCAATTACGCTACTTAGAAGCGTTATACGCTATATCTTATATGATAATTATATAATAAATTGTATTTGTATCTTACAAGTTATAAATATAGTTTCCTCACTTTCGATTGTAAAATTTCTGAAAATTATAAGTATCTACCTATATCTAAAAGTCTGGCTACTTGTTTATTATAGATATATCTTGAAAGAAATAACAAGAGACAATTCACAATTCTACACACAAAGAAAAAGGACTGAATTCAGAATAAGATGTTTCCCATACAAAACATAGCGATTTTATTCTACAAATAATGGGATAAATTTGGTTAGTTTTTTTGTTGTTGTTGGAAACTTGTATATCTGTTTTCTATTTCACGATGCGCAATTTGACACGGTACATTTCTTTATAATACCGTTATAATACGCATGCGTATATATTTAATAATATTAACAAATAGTGTAACACTCATAATAACGTGTATGAGCTCATAACCTGATTTTTTTGTGAAAATCGTGGTATTTAATGCATCAAACGACAATGCAGCAATGGCGCAAGTACTGAGCACATATTGATTTGCCCAAATCATTACACAGTCATTGTAGCTGATACCAAATTTTTGTCACAAATAACGCTGACGCTGCTATCGCCGCCAGCTTCGCGATTCACCGTCTTCATCTTCTTCTTCTTCGTTTTCTTCAAGAAGCAATGCTTCAGCGTTACCCTGTTATACAAATACAGGTTTGTATCATATAAAAGACAGACAAAATATCTTATATTTTTTTCATTTATTCGTGTATCAGAAAAAGAGCAGATTTTAATAAAAATAAAATAATATACAATTATTATATCCTTTTAAAAATTACACCGTAATCTAAAATTTTTAAGAACTCACTTCTAAATCAATATCTTCATCGATGGTAGGTGGTGCTTGTTCGGAACGCGAAGAAAGTTGTACAGACGCGTTTGTATTGCTACCACCGCCGCCACGATGTAGATGATGTCCAGAAACCCAAGTTATAGACAACAATCTATCCTGAAATGTGCGTCCTTTTACTAAAGCTATCTCAGCTTCTTTTCTTGACTTAAAATTGATTACGATCGAAGGCGTTGCGTCATCTACTATTTGATTTACTATTTCTCCAAATTGCTGAAATAAATAATACAGATATTAATTTACATGATTATACAAAAGCAAAAATACACATAGTATAAAGAATAGAATCTTACTTGAAAATGCGCTAAAACTTCAGCCTTTTCTTCGGTTTCGTAACCAGAGACTAGAAGACTTGTAGGTCTATGATCTACTGAAACATGAGTAAAACTCCCTCTGCCACGACCTCTATATGACAATGCATGACTACCTCGTATAACTCTACTGGATCTTGTACCTCGTCCAACAGCTGAACCTGCATTTAAACCTAACGCAGCAGCTTGTGCTCGTAATTCATTTAATCTCTTTTGCAATTCTCCAGCGTCTTGCCCTTCCTGCTGGGCTGTCATTAAATCTAATTCTGCGTCTAAAATCTCTTTCTGTGTTTGTTCTCTAGATTTGATTTGCGATTTGTTACCAGTAATTTGTCCATTCGCAGCCAAGTCTTTACGTAAATTATCAATAGATTGCTGCATAGTTTTGATCGTTGCCATAATTGCATCCTTTTGTTCTGGATTTTTCTCAGCCTTGTCAATCAGAGCTCGAATTTCTATCAAATGCTTATCTAATAATTCCTGTTTTCTCTTACGCAAATCGGCAGTTAATTTTAATGCCTCCTTACGTTTCTCTTCTTGTTTTTTCTTTAACGTTTCCTTAGCAGCTAATATTTCTTGTGTCTTTTTTATTGCAAGAACCTTGTCTTCTCGTGTAGGAACAGTGGTAGTCTTTGGCGATGTTGGAACCAAAGGTTGTGAGACTTGTTCTTCGGTTGAACGACGAGTGGGAATATATTCATTATCTTCGGTCTTCGCTGGCGTAGTCACAGCAGCACCCAATCGTTCTTTGACAGAAGGGCGACATCCTAAGTAAACGAAGCATTATATTAAACACTGAATTTTTTTTTTTTTTGTAAAAATTCACTAATAAGTAAATTAATATACATAAAAAAATATATATATATAAATGGTACATACCTGGAGGTACATTTTCAATGGCACCACCAACTGTATTGTTGTTAACAGTGTTATGCCAAAAAACTTTGATAAATCTATTATTTAACACAGCCTCTGTACTTCTGTATGCAGCCTTTGCTTCAGCTGGTAGCTGGAACGTAACCAACGCTCCCTCAGGATCTCCGCCGAAATTAACTTGGATATTTACAATTTTACCAAATTTTGAAAAATGATTATTCAATTGAGTTATGTTGTTCAGACTACGTGGAACTTTTTTTAATTCCAGGGAACAATTTGCTGGATTGTGTACCACTCGTTGTTTTGGTCCAAGACGATTAAAGTCGAATGCTTGTTTACGTTTTAACGGATTTGTTTGAGTATGTGTTATCTCAGACGAGTTTGTATGTGGAATTACTGGCACACTAATTAGTTCCCGTTGACCTCTCCCATAAATTCCAGGTCCGGGTTGAGGATGCCTACCCCACGACATTCGCGGTTCCATACTCGGTGCATCTGGGTTATATTCCGCAAAAGCATCTATCGAAATTTACATTAGAATATTGCATTAATTGTACATTAAAATTTTGGCTGCAGTTTCGAAAAGCACCAGTTTTCGATCGATATGAAATTTTGAGAGAATGAAGAGCAGGGAGGCGCCTAAATATAAACTTAGCTTCGAATATTTATCGGTATCCAAGATATCAATAAAAATCTTTCTTTTCGATTCTGCCTATATAGACGTTACTAATCAACTGTTTCGGTTGTCGTCATTGACTATCAAGTAACCGATAATGTAATAGCGATATCGATTTTAATATCTACAGGATATCCCATCTACAATTAAAATAGCTAGGACACCAAATTTTTTCCCATTATTCAATAAAAAAATAAGGGTTGGAGTTATATATCTTTTTGACTGTCAGAAAAAAAAGCAACCGGTAACACTTGTTCATAATGTTATAGATAACAGAATTCACGTGAATCATAACCTACAGATATCATAATCATCTGCTGTCTAATTTAGAATTAGTGACGATGACTACTACAACGAATACCATTGTAGTAATAATGTCGGTATAGGTAGAATTCAATGTATTGTATCAAAAGTTTTATCTTAATACATTGTTAATATCTTAAGAACTATTAAATGTCTGAAGTTAAAATTTTGTATTTAGAATCCTCCCCTCTACACTCCAATTCATCAATATTTTACATCAATTAGGAACTGATACTTTTCAGAACAATATCTAAAATTTTATATATAAAAAGTGCTGACCCATATTAGAATGATGTTGATTTCTTAAATGTGGAGGAGGTAAACTTGCGAGAGGAAGGTGTTGTGGAGGAGCATTTCCATTAGGTCCTGGAGGTGGTTCGGGTACTGCCGTTACAGGTACTGTTCCTGGTGCTTGAGCACTATGTGGACCAAAGGTCAGAACACGACTTAGAGCTACATCTTCTAATACAACTGGATCTGTACCATGATCATAGGGACAGAGATCACCTCGCATGCAGTAGCCTTTCTCTGTAAATATTAATTACTTGCTTTACAAAGTCCATTACATTCATCTTTGAAATTCCTTGGTAAATACAGACCATCAAAATCTCTGCATCTCCTCTTTGCTTGAAAACCTGGTTGGCTATTTGGAACATTAGAAGCAACGGCAACAACGCTTTGAATTGATTGACTAGTAGTAGACAACCTCATGTCTACATCTCCGTGATTACTATCCTGTGTTGGAGTTCCTCCGCCAGGACTCCCGTCAATTCTTTCTGTTCTATCTACGTCCATTCTTTCAGTACGATCTATCTTTTTACGATCTAATGATCTTGATCGTGACCGAGATCGAAGTGGTGTCGGGGACCTGTTTCTAAATCGAGCTCTGTGATCACGATTGTCAGGACCGTCTCGTATTCTTGGGCGTATTGGTGATGTACTACGACTTCTACTCCGTCTGTAAAATAGACTAAATATTGCAAAAAAAAAAGAAAGAAAGAATATGAATTCGAATATCTTATTAGTAGGAATAAACTTTGTATAAACCTTCTATCATGCCGTCGTGTATTTGGTGGCGATTCGTTTCTCCATGGTCGACTCCTGTCGCGTTCTCGATCGCGACGAATATGCTCCCTGCTTCTTGATCTACGCCTATCTCTCTCCCATGAACGTGAACGTGATCTTGTTCGAGACCTCATTCGACCGCTTCTGAAATATGTGTAGATTATCTTCCAAAAATTGTATTACAAAAATTTTGTAATTTTTTTAATAATTCACAAAAAATTCGACTCACCGACTCCTAGATCGTTTCTCCTTCTCTTTGTCAATTTTTTCAGAGTCTGATTTTCTAGTTTCACGTTTACCAATTGCCATAGGTGCAGATCCATTCATTTGAAGTGGAGCAGGGGGATTTGTATTCATAGAAGTAATTGCAATTGTACTTTCAGTTACTTTTTCTGCAGCTAATGTTGGTGGTGGTGGATTTACACCCGGTGGTGTCCCACCACCATCTGGATCACTTTTTGGAGGTGGAAGTACATACTCTTGAGTTTCTAATGTTTTAAATAATAATTCCACAAAATTTTTTGTTTCTGTAAAAGAAAAAAAAAAAACAATATTATGAAGCATAGTCAATTTCTTAATATTGTTTGTACTTAAAAAGAAAAATGTACCTTGCTGCAAAAATACATCAAGCTGTTCAACCATTCCACCTCGCAACTCTTCCAATGTTTTGTCCTTTTTAACAAGAGCATATACATATTTTGCTAATGCGGCAGGATCTGCATCACAACTGTAAAATCATATTGATATTGTTTTGAAACAATAATTGTAACGTAATTATGTAATATTCAAATAATAAACCCATAAAGCATGAATTGACATACGTATATATAAATATATATAACTATATGAAAATCATATAACAATCACACACATTAAGTTTTCATTGAAAATTCTGTATACATAATGAATAATGAAGCAAAGAATTTTACTTTATTATTTATAATATAGAAACAAATCATGTTTATAGGTTATAAAATACAGAACAAAACGTTAAATTTTATTAGATCAATAAACCATAAATGAATAAATGAAAATAGTTACATATTTCTATTTAATTAATTATAAATTAGTAACAAAATTATCTTCTATAATATAATAAATATAAGTAAATATATATATATACAAATTTAAATTTTAACCAATTTATAAATACATCTCTCCCTAACTGAAGCATCTTCTGTCATGAGTATATTAACAACTACTGAAATGTTTCTAACAAAAATTACATACCAAAGGGGAAGCTATTTCGAACAATGGTCCCTTTCCAAGCCATAAACGAAATTTTAAATAAGCATTACTGTCAACAAATTCTTAGGAAATGGTTCACTGTTTAAGTTGTTTATGTAGGAAAATTAATACATTAAAAGTGTATTCTTATCGCGATAGTTGAACAATATTTGAAGTTCGTGTTGTGGACTAAAATACAACCGGGACGAATATCCTACGTTCAATTATTTGAAATGCGTTCGCTGTAAAACACGGATGAGAAACAGTCTGGAAATTGGACGTACCATCGTTCGATCATTATTAAAAACATGATAATTCGGTGGGTGAATGCTGATCGAAATGATCTATCGACGAATATTCAGAAGCAAGAAGGGTAATGTACATGTAAATATAATTCTGCATAGGGTGTAAAGCATAGCACATGTACGGCCATTTACAACATTAAATGCATACACATACACCTAAAACTGTTCTCGGACAAGCTGGCCTACTTACAGTGGCTCCAAGACGGCAGTGAGCCACGCCTTGAATTGATCCGGATTCTCTATTATCATTTTCAGTGAATAGGCGACGAAAAACACATGGAACTTCTCAAAGACACACGTTAATTACACAATTTCTGGGCGGGAATAAGTACTCTCCTAAGTAAAGACAGTCGCCATTCTGAAATCTTTCTCCTATACACGCAGTGTTCACATAGATAGACTTTTCGTTTCTAGAAAATATCACGCGAGTCGCTGCAGCAGCATGTCAAATAGGTTAGGTTTGCTCGTTAGTTTATGAACATAGACATTTATGAACATACATTGTGTATAGTTATATGTATTTGCATTGCAATGTAAGATACATCTTCAAACATCTCCGTTTCAAATTTTGATGTGTTTTAAAATACGTGTACTTTGTTTGATGTTCAGTTGAGTTAGGAAATGTGAACACTAGTCTTAAATTACAGGCTTGCAGTCGCTAGTGAATTATAATTTTCAAACGGTGGCTTTGTAAGAAATGGTTATTGTGGAAAATGTTTAAACTGAGCTACTAAACCTGAACGCGTAATTCACTTAGTAATAACAAGTATATTTGTTCAATTTGAGGTTAATGATGTTCATGTTCGAAAAATAGTTTCTTATGTTATATTAAATTTTTCCCGCTGTTTTCCCTAGATTTTGATCACATGATTTTATTTATTTCTCTTGGGTTGCTGAAAAGAATACGATTGAATTCAATATGTAATTTTTGAACGAAGGGATTCTTAAAATTAAGATTAAACTAAATATTAGATTAAAGTTCTTAAAACTAAATTAAATATTAAAAAGTGAAAAGGTTTTTGCGTTTAAGCTCGTATAGTCCATTATAAATAATTTATTCTTGTCAAAGTTACTAAAATAGTGAAATTCTTAAAAAGTTACAGTACTGTTTGTACAATTTGAATTTTTTTTGATGCTATTTAATATACTAAATACGTTAAAGTGATTTGAAATGTTGAATGTGTTTACAACACTTGAAAAATATAAATGATATTCAAAATTTACAATCAGAGTACAACAAACATTATTTTGTTTATAAACGAGTATATTTTCTCGACTATACCTGTTATTCTTTTACGTTCTAAATATGCCAATAATTTTTTGATTTACTAAAAGTCACATTGTAATTTCAACCTATTACGCGGAAGTGTACAATTCCATTTCCTCTGGCACAGAAGTTTGTTTATCTTTTTTATAATAATGACTTATTATACCAGCTCCTAATGCATCTGCTATGATGTTTAAGGTGGTTCTAAAACGATCTCTAGAAGTCAAGTTATAAGCTATCAGTATTTTCAATAAATATGTAAAATTATGTAAATACATCGTTGGATGCTTACACAAACCAATCAATAGCGATAATTAATGAAACATCTTCTACTGGAACTCCCACGGAATTTAATACCATTATTAACATTACATAACCACCGCTGGGTAAGCTGGCAGCACCAATACACGATATAGTACAGGTTATACTGTAAATTTCTCAATATTATTACATTATGATTTTGTGTTATCTCTATGAAGGTAAGAATGAAAAGAATACGTACCAGATTATTATGATTTTAAACAATGAAAATTGTAACCCGTGTAATTGAATTATAAAGATTGCACCAATACTTTCATACAAAGCTATACCATCCATATTTATGGTAGCACCAATTGGTACAATAAATCTAGATATTTTAGAAGGTATTCCAATACTTTCTAAGCATGATATTGTTACTGGAACTGTAGCTGTACTGAATGATTGTTAAATATTCTTAATTTAATAATAAATTGACGATATATTTATCTTAATTAATTACCTTGATGATGTACCAAATGCTGTAACAAAAGCTGGTCCAAGTTTAGCTATAATATTATATGGAGATTGACGAGTGCATATGAAATATACTAGAGGAAGTAATATGAAACCTTGTATAAGTAAACCACTGAATACAGTTAAGATATAAATTCCAAGCCTTTTTATTACACTGTCAAAATCTTCCACGTCGAGAATTTTTGCACAAATAAGAAATAATGCACTCACTGGTACCAACCTGTGTAAAATGCATATGCAGTCAAATGAAAGTTGAACGATCTTTTTTTTTTGTCATACTTCACACTTAGTAATCTTACGTTATTATCCAACTCATGATCTTCATCATTGCATCTGATAAAGATCTAAAAAATTCGATTAAAGGTTCTCCTTTTGCACCTATATTTTCAATTGCTAATCCTAAAATTAAACTGAAGAATACTAATCCTAGTACATTTGTTCCTGCTGTATTTGTGTGGCTTATTTTCCACTCATCAATTGGTACTAAAAGATAAAAATCAAATTTTAATTTAACTTTTATTCGTTCCTCAGATATGATGTATATTCCATATGATGTACCTGATTCATTCTTTGGTTTTTCTAATACAGTTTGATACTGAAACAATATTTTATTTATGTCTGTTGTTTAAATTGAGTTGATTGTAATAGTAGCTAAAAATGAAACATAGAAATTTATAAAATTTTGTTACCTGAAATAAAGTTGCACTCACAATGTTATCTGGCATAAGATTTCTACAATATGAATAAAAAGAAATGAAATAAATAAAGAACAAGAAATGGATAAAAAAACAAGGAATGGATTAACATCATAAGTAAAATACCGAAATAAATCTAAAATTGTATCCACTGTCATTGAATATCTCGTTGCATTTTGTGTCAAAATATTTCTATTTTTAAGTAAATCACCAGGTCTTATTGTTTGAACTAGTGTAACACTTAATACTATTCCAAGTAATGTTGTTGTTGTATAATAATATAATGCCATTTTTCCAATCTTACCTGTGGATTAGAGAATTTTACACTACATTAGAAAAAATTTTGTAAGCTTTGTAAAATTTGATATAAGTTTGTACGTACCTGATTTTCTCAAGTTGCAAGAAGCACTTACTATAGTAGATGTTATAAGAGGTAATATTAAACAATTTACCATCCTCATGAATAGTTCTCCAGGAAATCTTAAATACATTATATTTCGTTTGGTCCATGGTTGAAGAGTAACAGTTTTAAGAATAAGTCCTAATAAAATTCCAATGCATACACCAATAATTGTACCTAATATTAATTTTTGTCTCAATACTCTTTTTAATATATTCATTCTATCATTTAGCAATATTTGTCATTAAATGTTATTTATATTAAAAATTGTTAAATTCTTTTTTGAATATGAATATTACATGAATATTAATGATAGAATATTTCATAAGACTTTGTGTAAATAAAAGATAAGAATTCTTATCTTTTGTGATAAAAGGAAACTTTTCTTTGTTATAGAATTTTCAGAAAATGATGATTATAAACTCTACAGTTTTATCTAAAGTGTTGGAAATATGGCTAGAACATTACTTAAAAATAGGCGACATTACCTTGAGAAAGATATCTTATGACAGTGGGTATATTTATGATTCTTTTACAATCATGATACAACGTAAGAGATTATTATATCTTTATCTTACAACTATTTTCTTTTTAAAACTGATTCAGTGAATTTAATCTCAAATTAGTTTATTGAAGAAATATCCTTATTATATAAATAAATAAATTACTAATATTGATATTTTATTTTTTATTTATTTTGCATCTATTACAATATAATAAATATGATCGTGCACAATACATGAAGGATGTGTATTTACACACGTTTTTATTAATTTTCAGGCCATAATTTTACGTATTTGTAACTGAGTTCGCATTATAATGCTACATTTTTTCTTAAATCGTTCAATATAATTTATACATATCTTTACAGTTCTGCATAATTCACATCACATTATGTATTTCATTTGTATCCAGTCTTCTGAAGAAAAAAAACTCTCATAATACATCATCTATGTCCATCAAAATCATGATTATTAATCTTTAAAGATTTCAATAATTAGTTTATTTTTTTCTTTATATGAAGTATTAGTGAGATCAGTAAAGAATTTTATTAACGTTACATTTATACAAAGTCATGTTTCGTAAAGTTTACATATCTAGATCTACATATTTCTCTATACTGTTTAATATTTGGTTTTTTTTTTTTGTATGTTACGCAATTTTCATTTTTCTTCTTTTTTATTCAACTGCGATCCTTATAAATCGTATTTTTCTTCGTTTATTTTTTCATGTGAGGTAATTTGATTTTGCTCAAATAAAAAGAGAAAAATTTGTTTATTGACTTCCGCTTTTTGGTGATTACGATTCGCCAGCCGCAATAACGGATTCCGGTATCCTGCTGAGGTGTTTCTGACAACACAACCTACGTGACAAAAAAAATTAAGATTTTGATTAGTCTTTGTTTTTGCTTCTCATTGCTTTATCATATAAATAATATAAATTTGACACAACACACTTAAATGTAGCGAGATGGTTATTCTGAAAAGATTAAAACATTATGAAATCTCGTAAAATTCACGTTTCGCTAAATTTCTAGTTTTATTGTAAAATCTAATGTTATATATGTATAGTTATTTTTGATCATGCAAAATATTTATAAGTTACGATTTAGTAGAAAAGGAATACAAAAATCTACTGATACCACTTCCAAAACTGAACACTGTAATTACAGTGCATAAGGATCAGCTACTTCTATTTTCTTATAAATCAAGTATATGTATGTACTTGTATATCATTCGAGTACTGTAATATTCAAAAGAAAAAAAGAAGAAACAGACGAAAGAAATTTAAAAATTTATCATTCAATAATTTTCAAATTAAAACTGAATCAAATGAAAACTTCAAGGGATGGAAATATTTAAATTCTAATACTAAAGTGTACGATTGAATGGAAGTTGTAATTATGTATATTTATAAAGCATAATGGAATTATGCAGTGCATTGTAAAGAAAAATACAATTAAGTACATTGCAGTAAATATTTGTACAATCTCATAAGAATCAAATGTTTCGTTAAATACTTGGTGATTTATTGTTTCTTTACAGTTATTCAAAATACGTCGCATTTATATTGTAGACATTTATATTGTAGTCCCTCAAAAGTGAAACTGTGTTAATACCTGTCCCTACAAAGGTGTTTCCTTTCGTGCCTCGGCCTTCCACTGAAATCCATTAACTCGCGTTGTGATAGGCTTATTTCTATTAGTTGCATTTTCAATTCCATTTCTAACACCTGCTACTAATCTCATGGCTGGGTTGGAGACCAAGCCATTGCGCTTTGGTTTTGCATTGCTTGCACTGTAATTAAAAAATTATTCCTTTCAAAAAGTGTTTCTCCCGCTTAATCTCTATTAGAAAAGTCTCTTCATAAGTATATTCATAAAACCAAATTTACAATCAAATTGTCAATGATTCACATCTAAACGAGTGCAATGGAGTTTTTTTAAACTTTTCAAAATTTTATTAGTAAAAATCTTACCTGGCAGGTGTGTGGTCAGAGGTATGTTTCACGCTTCTGCCAACACCAGCACCACTGTTCCCCAATATTATCCTCATATGAGTGTCCCTAGTGAAATGAGTATCGGCCGAGTTTCTTTTCTCATCAAGCCCATTTTTCTTGTCCTTTGTCACGCTTAAACCTAACATCTCGTTAGTTAATTCAAACGGCTTGCTAATGTCATTTTTGTCGATAATCTCGGTCTTTATGTTGATCGGTTCGTAAATGGCCGATGTGTGATTATACTCTCCGATTTGCGTTTTGTATGACATATTCTGGTTTCCGGTCAATAACGACACACCGAGCTGACTTTGTATCACGTTCGCCGCGGTCTGGGCACTAGGTGGACTCGTATTCGTCGGTGAATAAGGTATCAGGCTGTCGCTTAACGGCGAGTGAGGCGGCGAAGCGTAGATGGGACTCTGCGGTTCGCTTTTCAGAGGCGACAAAAGTTTGCTGAGTGGTCGGCTCTTCGCTCCTCTCGTGCATTGTTGCAGTTGTTGCGTGAAAGATAATGGTGTCTAAAATTATAGCAGTCAGATAATGCGTGGTTCTCCGCATCGGAGTCAAATTCGTGGCGTGTATAGATCGAGTTGGCCTCTAACGTTCGCATAAAAATCAACTGAGTACATGTTAAATGTGCATCAGGTTGTTTCGACAGTTAACAGATTGCGTTTGAACAAAATCTTCGTATGGAAGAGTGGCATTGTCAAAAGAAAAAAAACGATCTGTACACGAGTGCATGAAAACAGAATTAACAAAACATGCAGCCAGAAAGAGATGAATGGAACATGACGGATGAGAGCCGATTGGAAGTGGTATCGGAGAGCTCGAACTGGCTCCTCAAGTTACAGAAGAGAGTTAATCGGGAAAGCATTAGAAACAACAATTGTTACCTACTTTTATTACCTGATTCACCATCGAATTCTGATTGAATTTCCCCTGATCGCTCTTCGTGCTGCCGGTCAAATTACTGCTGGACTTGCTGTTGCTAGAGTTATTGCCCAGAGACACGCAGCTTCTTCTTTTCGTCGAGTCTGGTGACTCTGCTGGACTGTACTGTGTTGACAGAGGGTTCAAAATTGCAGACGATGGTTTCGTTTCAGCTGTGGAGTTTGATGTTACTGACGTAGCAGTACTACTTCCACCTGTGTTATATGCGAATCACACAATGAATACATATACATAATCATAGATCAACAGATAAATGAAAAACAAAAGATCATTGAAGAGAATTACGAGGAGTAGACGAACCTCCGTTGATACCAGGCCTCAGACTTCGTTGATTAGCCGAATGTTCCTCGAGTAGTCTAACCACAGTATCGTGGCCACTTTTGGCGGCTACTTTGATAGCATTTCGACCACAGTGATCAGAATGACTGGGATCAGCACCGTGGTTTAAGAGTGCTCGAACACAATGTTCATGACCCTCTTGTGCAGCGATACCTGAAGAATATTGATGAATGAAGACACTGTATGCTAGGAGATGTAATGATAAGAAGAAAGTCGTGTCACTGATCAATTTGATCATTATCATTACCCAGAGCTGTTGCACCTTGATTGCAAGTATGGTCAGGGGTTGCTCCATGTTCTAAGAGCAATCTAACAATGGCTGCATGACCTTGCCAGGCAGCAGAGTGTAAAGGAGTTCTGTTCTCGTTGTCGCAGGCGTTCACGCTGGCACTGCCTTCTGTTAGCAACAGGGCTACCATTTCGACGTGTCCTTGCCAAGCACTCACATGCAGCGGTGTTCGACCCTGTAAAATTAAATTCTCAAATGGATGTACTTGAAACAAGAAATGACTAAAACGTACAAATTTCACTTACTTCTGAATCCCTACTTTCCACATCAGCGCGAGCATGCTCCAATAAGAATCGGGCCATCGCCAGTCTATTCTCTAGGGCAAGAATATAAAGAGTGCTTCTTCCATCAGCGTCTTTTGCATTCACGTCTGCATTGTGAGTCAATAGTACTCTGACGGTGTCGTAATGCCCCTCCAAAGCTGCGAGTCTACAATTGTTATACCGTTTGTAAGATATTTTGCAAAATTTAGAACAGAAGATCTATGTTGTTATTAGATTACCTAAGAGCAGTCTTTCCATCGTGAGCATGTTGATCGATTGGCGCTCTATGCTGTTCCAGGAGCCTTTCAACCAACGCGGCGTGTCCTTCTTGCGCGGCTAGCATCAGAGCACCTTTTCCATCGTTGTCAGTCTCGTCAATTTTTGCTCCGGCTTCCAACAGTGCTTCACAAACATCGATGTGACCTTCGAATGCCGCGTAATGTAACGGCGTCCATCCTGAATTGTCCCTGTGTTGTTCGTCCAAGCCTAAACAATTATGACCAATGAAGAGAGATTGGAGAGAAGTGGGAGCAAAAATAATTCAGAAAAAAAAAAAGGAGGAAGGTATTTGATACCTCTGTCCAACAATTGTTTCACTACGTCGGTGCCACCTTGGGCAGCAGCCACGCTCAAAACGGTCCTGCCCTCGTTATCAATGCTGTCAACGTAACATCCCCAGAATAAGAGAAGAGCGACCACTGATCCATGACCCATGCTGGCAGCTGCCCACAAAGGTGTACGCCCGGTAGCATCGCAATGATCCACATCAGCCTCGTATTCCAGCAGCAACTCGCAAACGTCTCTGTGTCCCTCGAACGCGGCCACTAACAACGGTGTCATACCATCCTTATCCTGATGATCGACTGCAGCTCCTCTCTCCAAGAGGATCGTGACCACCTGTGACAGAAGATCATATATTCGTTCATTAAACAAGAATTCACCAACCAACAGAGTATTAATATGAAATTAAAAATTTTCATGCTTCGACTGACTATTACTTTTGTGCATTTCAGTGCTGTCAATCGCTATTGAAGTCACATGAAAATTCCAATGAAATTTGCAATTACCATACAGGGAGATCTCACTTTAGAACTTCTTTTCTAACGATGACTGAACTTCGACAAATTTTGAAGAGAAAAATCGGAACTGGCAAAAATTCGAGCGCAATCAAGAACGGATCGGCACTAAAATGATCAAAGGTCTCTAATATGTCAGCTACAGTCTGAGTGAGGTCAATCTATCAAATTCAATCTAGGAAAATCAATTTTCCTATTTGCCTCGAGCTACCTTATACCGCAATATATTAAAAAAGTCAGCGTGACACGACAAATGGAATGATATTAGACAAACTAAAACTTCGTTGTTAGTACGTATGGAAAGAAAAAGAAAGAAAGATGGTATTCATGTTGCTGCAGTGTTTTGTGCGACAACAGAGCTTGCAAGTATCTCGTTCTTGCTCGTCGTATGGCATCTTTACTCTTCTTTGCTTGTTTCACAGCCACGGAAACGAGGGGGAACGAAAACTAACTTTTGCATAGCCATGATTGGAGGGTACACAGAGGGCAGCTACGCTGAGGGCAGTCCTTCCGTCGTTATCAGCGTGATCGATCTCCGCGCCAAAGTCTAGAAGGTGTTCGACGATCTCGCTGTGACCCATGTAGGCAGCGGCAATTAAGGCGGTTCTACCCTCGTCATCGGTTCTGTTGACGTCGGCGCCGTGTTGCAAAAGTGCTTTAACGATGTCCTCGTGGCCACCCCATGCGGCTGCCCTGAGCGCTGTTCGTTGATCCCAATCGGCGCAATCCACCATTGCCCCGTGCTCCAGCAGCATTTCGACTACCTATATTTTTATTTCACCGTTTATATTCCTCCACTTACTTCCCCTTTTACTATCATACTTCAATACTTGCAACCCTCGTTAACATCATACACGTGACAATTCGATTGTTACTCTGTTTGACTATTTTGACTATTTAAATTGCGTTGCCACATCGAATTCGTATTACTCGTCTGTTATTAACGTCTATGATTATTCTCTTAACAAGAACGATAATGATTCTGTTAAGGGTGAATGATTTGATGTCCGAAGGTTTGTTGTTTTACTGTAACGATTACCTGGGTATGTCCACCCCAGGCAGCAGCCCTGAGAGCTGTCCATCCATCGCAGTCAGCGTGATCCGCGCAAGCCCCTGCAGCTAACAGAACTCGCACCACGTCTCCATAGCCGTGTCTCGCTGCCAGGTTTAAAGGTGTTTGACCGTGACGATCGGTGCTTTCCAATTTTGCCTGTATAATTAGAAAATATACATGAGACACAGGCTCATTCCCTTTATTTAATATTTTCTTTTTAACATGGAAAAAGGCCAATAATTTGTTATGATAAAAAAAGATTGCAACCTAAAAAGGATCTCAATTTATGTGAATCTACTTTGGCAAAAGGTTGCCAAAAGTTTCCAGACTGTTTCCCATTTCAGTTTAAGTTATACGTTAATAGAAATTGTATTTTACGAGTCTCGGTAGGCACTGTGGTCATAGGCTGGACTTTCATTTTGAGGAAGTCATTATTTCAACAATATAACGAGATTGCACCGCAGTTAGAAACTTTTGACAAGCGCTGATATTTATGATAATTGCTGTGACTAATAAAGGAAGGTCATAAACCTGCATAGTTGCGGTTAATACTTCATGATTCGTTTTACGCTTCTTCCCCATTAGGTTCTAAACTCGGTTTCTCTTAAAAACCGCTCTTTACGAGATCCCTTTATAATCATTACGTAAATTCCAGTAGGCAGGAAATTATTAAACATTGAGGAAATTTTCTCTTTTATTGTCAGGTCGGAAATATAATCTAGCTATGGAAAAGTATTAATAGAACTGATAATCTAATACTCTGAAAGAAGTTTTACATGTCAAATTTGGTTGTAAAGTTTTTATACATAGTGAAATCTTTTTTCTCCATAAATCTTTCTTGGTAATTTTATAATTTTCGTCCAGCGTCTGAAAGATGCATTCACGACGGTGTCGATGCAAATGAAGATCTGTTTTAAAAAGTGGATGAGGATGATCCTTACCTGAGGACACGTCGCCAGAGCCAGCTCCAGCAGAGATGCATTACCATCTGCAGCAAGCGTGTGCAGCACTGTTCGTCCGCAAGAATCAGCTTGATTGATGTCCCCGCTTTCGCCGAGCAGTTCCGTTAATGGTTCGCTGGGAGATTCATCCATAGGGCTTACGTCTTGCGAGACCTATGGAGACGCAGACCAAGTTACACGAATTCTGTTTTCAGAATTGAAAGTAGGTTCATTACAAGCACCCAAAACTTTCATTTATAATAAAATTACGAAATGTTCATTCATTTTAATTCTCTATTTAGGAGCTAGGCTCTTTTGTTTTCTCAGAATCTAGGATTTGACAGATCAGTTACTCAGAGAGAAAAGCAACAGGAATTCACTCTGAAACAGCCTTCTCAGTTTCTCAATTACTCTTAAAATTCGCAACGCTTTTAAAATTAATTACTTGACTAGAAGAGACAGCATCCTTGCTGGCGTCGTCTTCGACGACCTTCTCGGAGGGTTTGGCGCCGGCGTCGATCAACAATTTCAGCAGCTTCACTTCCTGCCTGGGCCAGAGTATACACTCCGAGCTATCCAGGTAGCAATCCTCTATCGGTGCTCCGCTGCTTATCATCCAGAGCACTTGAAGCGTGTGCACGTCCAGGTTACAATTTGTGGTGGCGACGCTAGTTATCGCCCGTTGTAGGTGTTGGCCAAGCACGCAGATTTCATCGGCGTTCAATTCCGGTCCACGAAGGGTGTAATACGCGGCCAGCATCGCGTGACCCTCTACAGCGGAGCAGAGATACTTCTGCGTACAGTGTTTCACATCCAGCAACCATTCAGCGAAACTGTGATGGAACAGCATCAGTGCACCTGCACGAGAAACGGAGATGACCCTGCGTAGAAGGTGCAAACGTCGATTGAAGTCTTCTATCGTGATGTTGGCGCACGCGGTTTTCACGCATTTGTAGAGTATCTCCTGGGTGATTGGTAGCTTCGCGGCTAGGATCACGTTCAGTAGAGGTTGAACTTTGGCAAATTGCTTTCGGCTGAAGAGCCTTTGACACAGCCACAGGTAGAGACCGTTCAGGGTGCCTGGTATCTCGCGAACCTCCCTTAGAACGATGAAGTTCTCGGCCACTCCGTCGAGAACTTTCTCTAGGTAGAGGAAACAGCCGTTGCTCTTGATGTGCAGCTGGTTTAGCATCTCGGCTGTGTCGCGCGAGATGTGCTGCCTGGACAAATGAAAATTAAAAATCAATTTCATCTAATGATACGGTAAAATATCTAAAATATTTGAAACATTTAAATGTTCAGAAAGTATTAAAAAAAAAAAAAAAATTTAACTGAAAGTGTGAAAATCTTTAATTTAAATTCTCAAAGGTTCCTATCCAGGTTTCAAGAGTGCTGAATAAATCTTTCGTAATTATTTTTAAAGCTGGAGAGGATACAACTGTTGATGAAAGAGGTTCCAACAAATTCAATGCCAATACCTGAGAGCATCTTCTTGATCCAATCGTGCAAGGATGTATTGCTGAATGTCTCTCACAACCAAAGATTTCCTTAGATCATCCAAGGGGATCTTCCGGAAGCCGCTGAACATTCGCGAGATTGGTTTGCTCTGGCGTCGTGCAGTACAAACTAGAAGCAACCACTGAGGGAACAGATGATGATGATTGGCCAATAATTCAGCGATGGTCCTGCTGACGTTATCGTTTTCCCTTCTCGAGTCTCTGGTGCCAGTTTGAGGGAGATCCAGCGTCTGTCCCTCGTCGATCGAGTCGACTAACAGGAACAGACAGCATTTCGGTGGCTCTAACTCCAACAGAGGGAACAGCAACGCTTTCTTCAAAGCATCGTCGGGGTCTCTATCGAGGACGTCCGGCTGCAGAGCGGCTTGTATCTCTGGATCGGTTCGAAGCTTCTCAGCGTAGGCTTCTGCCACCATTTCCCTCGATGTTAACGGCACTGTCGTGGCGTTGGCAGCCGTTGTGCTGCCTGGTATTGGGGAGCTCGAGGCCACTCTGTGGAACGAATAAGAAGGATCATTTGTGAAAAATAATTTTAATCAAATTCAGCGTCGCAAAGATTAAAGCTCGTTCTCCCAAAGTGGCGTTACGTCAATGTAAAATTATATCATTTGAACTGTACTTTTACTTGTACTTGTACTTTTACTTGTACTTTACTTTTTAAAGTACTAACTTTCATTTCATTGAGTGAATGTCAATGGGATTGGGTTAACAAGCGACAAGGTCGAGCAAGTTTGAAATTTTCATGTAATCACGGATACCACTAACCTGTGAATCCCATCTGAACCAGGTTGCAGAAGCTGAGCGACCAGAGACCTGACAAACTGAGCCGGTGACAAGGAAGCCTCGCTCCTAGCCTGACAGAAATGCCTGGCCAATAATCTCCTATTCAACGATCTCTGATGTCTAGCGTTGGCACCGGCCGACGGCCAGGCCAATTCCGCGCTGAACGCGGTCTTCCCACTTCCTGGACCGCCGACGACCAAAACGCCGCACGTCTTCGAAGCTGGCCTCTGTTCCAAGCAATGGGACAGCTTTGTGAACGCCCATTCGCGACAGAAGAACCGTTTCTTCTCTATCACCGGTGCAGCCATCCTTCAGCAGTGATTCTCTTCTTTTACGCTTAGTCGATTAAATCGAACGATCGTGATTACTTTTTTTTTTTTTTTTTCTTCTTTCGTTGCTCAGGATTCTTTCAGTGAGGAGCTTTGTCGCGAGGTCTAGCGTTCCGTATTAAGCACGAGAGTCGGTCGATTTGAAGCAACTTGTGCGTCTGAATGAGAAAGTAAAGAGAGGCCGTGTCAAATTCGAAGAACTTTATCTTTCGAATTTTCTAGGCTAATTGGATATATATATATATATGTATAAATGTATATACGTATGTATGTATAGTTTATATATTGATCAGGTATGTAAATTCTTCAAGAATCGTTCTTCAACAAGTATTACAGTATTTCGCTCGTGTTTCGTTGGTTGACGATGGTGTATCTGTTTGTTTTTCTTCTTTTGTATCTTTCAGTTGAAGTTCCGGCGGAGATCGGTAAGAGTAATTGGAAACAGGTGACAGTTTAGATTGGCTGCGGTGCGCGACTACGATTCATCTCGCTGTACTTTGACGAGGGAACATTGGTCGGAGCCCCAGGGGGCTCTGAGGCTTCCTCGGCCTCCATTCAGCCTTTTCATCGCCTCGTCGCGGACGAGCACCGCGCTTCGTATCGCTGCATTCTACAGCACCTGAAACAAGCAACGCAGACACGTCGTTTATCATACAGATCGTATTATTGATTTTGTCGACATTTTATACGTGTGACAGCCGTGATAGGTACGCACGTAGTTCGTTCAGTGATTTGAAACTTTAATCAGATCAGTAGAGTCCCATGATTTTTCGTCGGCGTTTCGATCTCATTGAAATTCATTCGTGCAGATTTCTGTTAATTAAATTATATTAGGGAAATCATATCATTGAGGTATTAAGGTATTTCGCGGATTGTCACGAAAAGAGAGAATATATTATTCCTCTTTAGCAGCTTAATCGTCGGATATTACATTAACGGTGTACAAAATTGAAAGGCTTATTGCTACCGTATAAAACGATTATTCCACCATTCTGCGTATAATCGATATAATTGTCCGATATAATTATAGCCGTACGCACGCAACATCGTTCATTTGTCTCCTTCTCAACGATGATTCAGTTAAGCTTGTTAAAAAATCGATTCGCATTTATTATATGCATTCACGTTTTGTATTATCTACGGCAGAAAGGTCGCATTTATTTAAATGACTTTTAATCCTTTTTCTCTCGAAACAAATCAATCCGCCAATTAATCCGCGTTTAATCTCGTTATGAATATATTCTTTCGACGTTTAACAGGCAATATGTTAACACTGCGCTTCGAAACGACTACTCTTTCGTAAAAGCGAATCGCCGCGCAAAGGGGACGAAAAGAAAAAAAACGAAACGGCGAGAAATTGCAAAGTAGAGGAGAGAAAGTCTCTCCGATTCCAACTTGTAGGCTTGTATTGTTCGACCCGGGATATATCGAAGTGTTCGCGACACCGTGAATCAAGCGTGTTTTCGTTTTCATTCGGTTGAATCGCGCGCGAGGCCCGGATCTTTCACACACGTCTCAGCCTGAACGAGCCGAGAAATACGCGGCGAGTAATAATTAGAAAAGTCATCCCCTTCTCATTAGTGAGACTAGTTTGTCATTGGCCCTCCGCGGGTTTTCGCTCGTCTCGAGCGTACTCCCGTAATTTCAACCCGCCTGTCTCCCGCCAACAGACAATTATCACGGTCGTTTAATACGAATTTGCAGATTCGTTCACCGTGCAACGAATAATACGAGGCTTTTCACCAGGAGCGAGCAGAGCATCTCTCTCGCCCGCCGCGTTTCATTCGATCAACTGTTACAGCCAGAAGCACAGTCGTTTGTTATGCTATTCGCGAGTTTTAACAGCGTACAATAACACGCGGGAATTGCTTTCGAGTTTGCTTCTTCGTAGGTAATATATATCTTCTTTTCTTTTTTTTTCTTTTTGAATGTTGATGATAGGTGATGAAGAGACCACAATTCGTTCTGGACAATGGAGTTTAGAATGGTTAACTAACAATGAAATGGAAATGAAGTTTTGCACTCGAAATTAACCCTCTTGCAGATCAAAATTTCATCCTTTTGAAAGTCATCAGATTCGTGAAAAAGGAAAAAGAACCAAACAAATTCTTAAGCGATTGTAATAAAAATAAAATCCGACGCAAGGCTATCGTTCCCGAAAACGAAAATTTTACTTTTACAATATTCACAATTTCACTTTTACAATATTTTACAATGTTCTATGCAACTTGAACAATATTCCTCGAGTAATGAATACAAGATTTTAAAGGATAATAAAATAACGAATTTGATGACAAAGAAAATTTCCAAAGGATTAATAAAGATCTTTTGATCCTGATGGAGCACTTCCACTGTGAAAAAGGGTAAACAACGTGAGACGTGACAAATTCACGCGTATTTTGCTTTGAAGATCTATTTCATATAAATAAAAACATAGTTATTCGCGAACGAATGGTTATTTAGAATTCACCGAGATGGTCGGAAATAGGGTTGACGCGTCGTGATGGATTTCTCGCGTGGCGGTTTTAATATCATCGAACGGTCGTTTATAAGCGAGCTTCCGGAAAATTTAATATTAGAACCGGGGGAACGTGATCGATAGGAATTCTCATTGTTGCATGCTACTGCCGCGATTCTTCGAACGTTCTGCAGCGGACTTCCGGCGAAATGAGGTCGTATCTTTCGTGGATTCGAGCCGACGTGACTGGTTATTGCGAGCTTTTCAAAGCATCTGCGTAACGTTCAACGCAACAGAGATGCCTATTCGTTCAGTGGGAAAAGGGATTGTATATATCTCTCCTCGCTGCGCCATGCGGGATTTATCCCGGAGGAATAACTCTGTTGGCAGTTTATTAGCTGCGATTAATTTAACCAGTAATTTTCATTCTTTCTCAAGCGGATACAATTATCTCGCGAAGTAAAATAATAAGTAGTAAATAACAAAAGTAAAATTAGAAATTTAAAATTACTCTCGTAATTGTTTTAAATTAATACACGTAATGGTATTTTCCTGTAGATGTCACGTTTGCTGATCAAATGATGGACAACTCAAGGCGAACGATTTGAAGAATCTTATTCAACAATGATGCCTGAATATTTCGAACCTGACAACAGCTTAGAATCATTAGAACCAGACGTCGCCGCAACTTTTTCACGAGTTTGAACCTGGAAACTTCCGTCGTGAAGTCTTTTCAACATTGTCCAATTATAAATTGGTCAAGTTTTAGAAGGAACAACAGGTATTCCTCGTGCACGATGACATGACTTAAAATTTTACGAAGAGTAAACGAGAATCCTCCTCGAAAATGGAGGAATATCTTCGAGTTACTTTGACCCGTAGGATTTTTTTTTCAAGGGGTCAGGACAGTGTGAAATTTTCAAAAGATCGATTTTTTTTTTTGTTTTTGTTTAGTAAATAGTAGTTTGAAGTCTTAGAAATAAGATACAAAAGGTCCCAGTCTTTAAAACGACTTACTTCGGGGTATAATAATAAATCCGCGGATACAGAATAATTGAATTTGTATCACTTCTTACAACTTTAAGCAGTATTATAAAGCGTAAATCGTGTGATTCAAATATTACTTTTGGTGGATTGAATATTAGGGGACTTGGATTGAATTTAGTTGTGAATTGTAAGAACTGTGGACAGCGATATATTAGTGAAAAAAAGTAAGTAAAGGATACATATGAAAAATGACGTTCTGAAACTTTAAACGCGTTTTTCTCGAAACTCGGTTTTTAGAAACGGTGTGCAAGATATCTCGGGATCTAACTAACCGATTATTGTGAAACTTGGTACGTATCTTTAGTGTAACATTTACTAGGGATTGACGATCAAACATTTTTTAATTTTTAACAATTTCGAAAAATATAAACAAAAAACAGAAATTTCTGGCATAAATTCGATACATCAAAAAACAAATACCTGTTGTTTTCATAATTTTCAGAAAAATGAAAATGTTGGATCGTCAATCCCTAGAGAATATTTTTCACTTTTGAACTTTTCTTGCCTTTTTGCTGCAACTAATCCCGTTTAGCTGGAATCATGCACACCGATAGGCAATGTATAAAAAAAAAAGTTGTGTAAAAGAATAAATGTTGCTTTTTATAGTTCATAACGTGTTAAAATAAACCACAAAAGCTCGTGTCAATTACATATGTACCTTTTTCTTTACTAGCCCTCCAAAGTGTACGTAATTTTTAGGCCCGTCACACTGTCCTGCCCCCTTAAAACGAAACACGAATCTTTGACTCGAAGATCGACCAAAGCTTGCAGATCCCTCATAGCAGTTTTCGTTTCCATAAGAATCGTCACCCGTATCGACGCAAATAACGAATCGAATACGTTTCGTTGCACGCACAGCGCACATTGAAAATTTACTGTCTGATCGTTCAGACTATGCTGGTGGTTCCGAGCTTATCGCGTTTGTCGCATCACTGATAGCGAATTTTCGAAATTCCCACGCACGGCAGCGATCGCGGACCAGGAACCGCCTCAACTATCAACTGCGCCGATAAACCTTGACACGAACGAGCCATTGTCGAACGTTTTTAAACCTCCCCCCCCCCCCCCCTGTTTATATCACCGAACAATGTCTCGAGGATATCGCGCGCGACAAATTGACGGCAACAAACTTCCAGGACGATCGAGCCGATTCGATTGGAAGAATGAAACACGTGGGTGATCTATTTGATGCTTTGTCATCATCTTCGTTTGCGATGCGTGAGAATACAGGGTGTTTTGTAACTTGTGGGGCCCACTCTGTACGACTAAAAATAATGAAAAAAAGTCATATAAATATATGTCCTATCTGTCTTCGTTTATGAGATATAATGAATTTTATAAACAGANCATTAGATTTTCATTTGTGGAGACATTTAAAATCTATTGTATACGCAACATCGATTGAACATGCTGAAATACTACGAAATAGAATAGAACAAAGCTTCCGACAAATTCGAGAAACATCAGAATGATA